CAAAAGCTGGAAACCATTTCTTATGGGATGGTGAGAGATGGTTGTGAGGTGGGACTTCAAGAACTACTTCACAAAGATGTTTTAAGGATAGCCTGGAAGATTCTAGAAGCTGTCTCAACCCAGCTGCTGACACCATCTATGACAGTTTTAGGTTGTGTCACTCTAATAGTGACTCTCTTTTCTCCATTCCAGTAAAACAGGCTTGTTAACTAACTCAAATCACCATGTAGCAAACAGGGTTACTGTAGTAAATGAAAACAGAGCTGGGATACTATATATCTCCATTTGGGCAGAAGTGGTAAGGGATGGGGATCTGCTACTGTGAACCGGTCCCTGCTTTAAAGCGGCATAGTCATTAAGACCATGGAAATAAGTTGGCTAAATTCAAATCCCAGCTCCACACCTTACTATCCATATGAAATTAGCTTTGCCTTTTGTCTACCATCTAGAAATGCAAATAAGGGAATCTATGTTCATAGGTTGCTGTGTGCGTTGGACGAACAAAAAGAAGTTACATACTTGGTAAGCAGATGCTCCACCATTTGAGCCACATATCCAGTTCTGTGTGTGTGTGCTGGCCTGAGGCTTGAACTCAGGATCTGGCTTTGTTTTTTGCTCCAGGTTGGTGCTCTGCCACTTGAACCACACCTCAGCTTGGAGACATTCATGGAAGTGAGTGTATTCTGGTACACACTTGAGAACACGCTGGTAACCTCTTTAGCCCCAGGCTGACATCTGCACCAGCCTTTGAAATGATCTCAAGGTCATGGAGATGACCTCTAGATCAAAACCTGTGGTGTCATCTCACCAAATTATAAGAAATCCAAATCAGGGTAAAGTTTTTCGTTTTTTGGAAAGCCACCTAACTATTCAAGTCATAACTAAAAGTATCCATTGAGGCAAGCTCCATGCTGAGCTCAGCACTAGCAGTCCGCACAGTGTGGTCCAGAGGGCAGAACTCAGCCATCCAAGCTTTAGCAAATACTGGTTGATTCTGATGCATATTCAAATTTGAGAGAGTTCTTGATGCAGTAGGTCTGGAACAAAGTTCATGAATGCCTAGGTGGATGGTGATGCTTCAGGTCTGGGCTCACACTTTGAGAACTATTATGTTTGTTTGTTTTGCCCATCCTGGGGCACAAACTGAACTCAGGACCTAAGTGCTGTCTCTGAGCATTTTTGTTCTCAAGGTTAGCCTTCTACCACTTTTAGCCACAGCTTCACTTCTGGCCTTTTGGTGGTTAATTGGAGCTATCTCATGGATTTCCTGCCAAGGTTTTCTTTGAACTGCAGTCCTTAGCAATCAGTCTCTTGAGTAGCTAGTATTACAGGCATGAGTCACCAGCACCCGGCTAGAGAACCACTATCTTACAGGGTATAAGCCTCCTCCTCTGGAGCTATGACAGACACAGGAAACAGCTAAAGGTCAGTTAAGTCCTTTTGGTTGTGTGATGCTAGTCAAGTACAGTAGGGGAAAAAAAGAAAACAAGGATGACTGAAACTAGGGTAAAACCAGGAAGCTGGATGGACAGAGCCTCATCAGTGCAGGACAAAGGCTGGACAAGTGGTAGCCACTTGGCAGAAGGGCAGATAGGAGGAAAGACTCACTGGCATGGGAGAGGACAAACCTTCAACAAACAAGTGCGGCAGAGGAATCTGGACTTGATTCAGGGGTTCCAACTGCTCTAAAGTAGGAAAGTGACAAATGCCTCCAATCACTACATGTAGGAGGGAAGAGGCCAAGATGGGGGCTTCAGCTGGACAATCCTGGGGCAGCAGGGTGTGATGACAAGATCTGGTACAAGCTTTGCCATCAGACTACCACAGGCCAAAGTTGAGACCCAACTTTATTTATCATGTTTGGTAACTTGCTCCTTGGACTTTAGACCTATGAGCTTTAGATTCAATTTCTATAAAACAAAACTGCGAGTCATCCCTGCCTTACACAGCCACTACTATGATATAAGGACAGGGTTTGGGTGAGCCTCGTAGAAAGTAAATGCAGAGGAGAAAGTTAACTTTAGAACAATGTCCTCTCAAACAATGGAGCCTTAGAGAATAAACTCTAGGGCCATCAAGAGTAGTTCAAGATGAGGAAGTAAATCTGGTGTCCTATCAGAAACACTAGTTCTAATCAAACTTGTCCAATTTATGAAGAATACAAATATGCCAACTTATTCTTGTTTCTAGTTAGCTAAAGTATTATCTTCTCCTGGGAGAACTGTAATGAGATCTTCATTTTGAGAGTATTTTGGTTCTGGGAAGGGAATTTACACTTTTAATTTTTTTATTGTTGCTTAAGGGGTTTAAAATAAATATAATCTCATATGCTGCAATTAGTGTTTTAATTGTTATTACTTTATGAGGCTAGTGCTATTCAATTTCCTTTATAGCCACAAAGATGTTTGCTCTGTTTGATGTTTAAACAGGAGGATCCCCAAAGACATACAAAGCTTTCAAAAATACTTTTTCTTCTAGGATCTTGGTGCCAAGTAGAGTAATCCAGACCATGTGCATGAAATTTGGTAAACTATTGAAGCTCAAATATGCTCCTACAGTAAACAAAGGGCCTACCTGAAGTTATAATTTACATGCTAAGATCACTAAACTTATTTTTCTTAATTTATATTTGTATTTATTTTGACTGGGAAATGACAAAACATACTCAATATTTAGTAATATGAAAATAACATGGTCCCATCTCTTTGACAGTTTTCAGACATCCTGTTTTAAAGCTTGAAAAGAATGCCCTGAAGTGCCTACTTTAGCTAAACCCAATCAAATTTGAAGCTTTTTTTTTTTTTTTTTTGCCAGTTGTGGGCCTGAGCTCTAGGCCTGGGCACTGTCCCTCAGCTCTTCAGCTCAAGGCTAGCGCTCTACCACTTGAGCTATAGCACCATTTCCAGCTTTTTCTGCTTATGTGGTGCTGAGGGATCGAACCCAGGGCCTCATGCATGCAAAGCAAGCACTCTACCACTGAGCCACCTTCCCAGCCTTGAAGCTTTTTTTTTGGGGGGGGGGGGTCCGGTCGTGGGACCTGAACTCTGAGCCTGGGCACTGTCCCTCAGCTCTTCAGCTCAAGGCGAGCACTCTACCACTTGAGCCATAGCACCACTTCCGGCTTTTTCTTTTTTTTTTTTTGCTTATGTGGTGCTGAGGAATCGAACCCAGGGCCTCATGCATGCAAGGCAAGCGCTCTACCACTGAGCCACCTTCCCAGCCCCTTGAAGCTTTTTTAAAAAATAAAAAAACACAAAAATTTTACAAATAGTATATACTAAGCACTGCGCTATTGTTGGGAATATTGAACAAGTGGTTGCAGACACTTGTGGAGTTTGGGGAGTTTTATAGGCTCCTGGGATGAGCAGATCATTAAAGGAGAAAAGTCCACCTAGGTTTCCCCAATCCTTGGCCGGCAGCAAACCTGCCTCAAGTCTCCTTTTCTATGCTGTGTTCTGTCCTAAGCAGTAACCAATCTTCACCTAGGCAGGGAGCCTTGATGTCTAAAGCACAAAGGCAATAGAATCAAGGCATTGATACTCCATTACCATGCTAGCAACATTATGGGATTTTTTTTTCATTTTGATTTGCTTTGTTAGCATTCCTAGTATTATTTTCCACTCCTTAAGTCCTTATTTCTTAAATTAATATTCTGACTTTTGCTTTGGAGTTGGGCTTCCTGACACTTGTCTTCCAGAGTCTCCCTGCTCCTTTTTTTTTTTTTAAATACATTTCTTTTTTAGTTATTAACATACATTTAAAGTACAAGAGTGTTTCACGGTGGTAACTCCATAGATGATACTGTAAACGCTGAACAAGTCCTCCTCCGTTACATTCCTTACTTCTGCCAAATACTATTTGCCCCAGCCCTTTACCTTCCTTCCCTCCCTCCCTCTCTCCCTCTCTCCGTTTCTTGCTCAAGACTACCTTTCCCCCACTTGAGCCAGGGCTCCACTTCTGGCTTTCTGGCACTTTTTGGAGGTAAGAGATCAGGTCTCAGCCTCCCGAGTAGCTGGGATCCTGGGCCTCAGCTATGGGTGCCCATCCCTTTTTATTTTTAAGTTTTTCCTTAGGTGCCAGTGGTTCACGCCTGTAATCGCAGCTACTTGAGAGTCCGTGAATCAGAGGATCAGATTTTGGTCCTTGTGGGGAAGGGTTCAATATTCACTAGACAGCAAGTCACTTTCTCTGGGCTTAGGTGTAGTGATCACATCTGCACCAGACATCAATACTCTTCCCAGGGAATTGAATCTCCCAACTTCAGCCAGGATGGAAGAAAAGAGAATGTGGCAATCTAACGGCTCTCCTTTACTCGATTTTTGCTTTCTAGCTATTGGCATTTTGTTGTCACCCCATTTCCAATTTCAGTTGTTTTTTCTTTTTTTCAGGAGCATAAACAAGCAAGCAGCAAAATCCGATGCTTGTATTAGAGTCACCATGAGAGGGAATATACACATCTTTCTGGCCACGTCAACTAGCTGCATCGTTTGTCCCCCCCAGACGCCTGTTCTCGCGCGTGGGGATTCCACAAGGAGTGTGCATCACGACGCAGAGCCAAGGACTTCGGAGGGCGGAGGGGGATCAAGGGCGCTTGGGAGGAATGACAGTTGTCTAAGCTAACCACCTCCTTTCTGGGCGTCCGGGGAGTCGCAGCTAAGGGAGACGGAGACCCCAGGTCTTCCACCTTCACCCACGCTCCGCGCACGTCACGGATTGGCCAGAGCGGCGCCCTCCCAGGGGAAGGCTCCGCCCCCTCCCTAGTGAGCAGCAGGCTCCGCCCCTCCCTAGTGAGCAGCAGGCTCCGCCCCCTCCCTAGTGAGCATCAGGCTCCGCCCCTCCCTTCTGAGCATCAGGCTCCGCCCCCTCCCTTCTGAGCAGCAGGCTCCGCCCCCTCCCTAGTGAGCAGCAGGCTCCGCCCCTCCCTCGGAGCGCCGGGCTCTCGCCAGAAGGGAGCGTGCTCCTGCCCTGCCCCTTCCTGCCCCGCCCCGCCGCGCTGAGGACCCGCGCTCTGGCCCGCCCTGCAGACCCGGTTGGAGGCCTGGGGTCGCGCCGCCGGTGCTGGCATGTCCACGTCCGGGCTCGCTACGTGGTGGCGCCTGCTGGCGCTGCCGCTGGTGGCCGGGGCCCGCTGCCCGTGCTCGGAGCCCGCGCTCTGCCGCCCGGTCCGCCACCGCCCCGACTTCGAGGTCAGGCCGCCGAGGGGCTGGGAGCGGAGCGGTGGGTGCCGACTCGAGCGTCAGTCCGAGCCGTGGGCCCTCCGCTTCGCGGGCGCTCCGGGGCTGCGTGACGCCCGCTCACGGCGCCGCAGAAGCCCGCCAGCTCCTTCCCGAGCCGTGGGGACCCATTGTGAAGGAGCCCGGCGTCCGGACTGGCGTTCTGCCTGCCTTGAGCCTTAGAACCATGGGCCTGGTTGGCGTCCCCGAGCTCTCTTGCGAAAGGCTTGTTCCTACTACCCTGGGCCACAGGGCCACTTCCGGTTTTCTGGTGGCTAATTGGAGATTAGTCTCAGGGCCTTTCCTGCCAAAGGCTGGTTTTGAACCGCGATCCTCAGATCTCAGCCTCCTGGTGGCGTGAGCCACCAGAGCATATACATGCAATATAGATCTACATAGATCTATATTACCTATTCCTTTCCTTTATGGCATCTTAGCAAAAATAGGCCTCAGTAATTTTTCAAATACAACAGTTTATAAAGCTTTGGGTAACATTAACCAGATACCCTTTTGAAAGCAATATTAAGAGAGCCTGACTGCAGTTTGATGACTTGCAGAAATCGGACAAAGTCAAAGTTCAGTCTGAAGAAAAAATACTTTGTAGACTAGGAGCAGGGCCTAGATCTTAATCCAGCAGATTAATTTTGAAGGAAGAACATTGAGATGTCCTTTAAAAAAGAAAAAAAAAGTATGTATGCCTTGTTTTCGAAGAAATAAAAGTGGTTAATTGCTGGGCTCAGGTGGCTGACACGTGTAAACCTAGCTCCAATTAAGTACAAAAAAAAAAGCCAAAAGTGGAGTTGTGAGTCAAGTGGCAGAGTGCTAGCCTGGAGCAAAATAAATAAACGAAAATAAAAAAGCTCAGGGACAGTGTCCAGGCTGGAGTTCAAGCCCCAGGATCAGCAAAAAAAAAAAAAAAAGTTAAATGTTTCAGAGAATCTACCTAGTGTCACTTTAAAAGAAAAACTTATAAAGTTTGATTAGAGACTCAGAAGTGAAAGCAAAGTAACTTGACTGGCTCTAGATATGTTTTGCTTATTTGGGTACAATCTGGTGGAAAGTCCCTACTTAAGCGAGTGATTCTGACTAGTAAAGTTGACACTGCACTTTCCTGTTAAAATTAGTTTGCTCTTTAAAAACCCAAGGCATTGGTGCTTTCAGTCTAATGGCCTTCCAATTCATCATTTTGTTTGCTTGTCTGTTTTAATAATTTATTGTTGTACACTGTGCTACAATATTTATTGTAATACACAGGAGTATTTGATTATTTCGAAAATCAATTATGCAAAGCAGCAAAATTATGCTCATGTTATAGCAATGGGTCCTTTACTGGATTTTCCTGTATATTTTTCAATACTAGATTATGTGATCTCCATTTATACACAGGTACATGTTTGAGGATTTTGCTGTGGATTGAACCCAGACCTTTCAACTCCACTTTATATTTTTAGTTGGTTCATCCAGTTAAGGTTTCAGTGATATCACAAGCTTCTAGTATTAATCAGATTGAATCTTTATTATTTTTATTGTGCCAGTACTGGGTCTTAAACTGGCCTGGGTGCTTTCCCTTAGTTTATTCTGCTCAAGGCTGACATTCTACTACTTGAACCATAGCTCCAGTTCGGGCTTTTTTTGGGTGGTTGATTAGAAACGAGTCCAGGGACTTTATCAGGGTTGGCTTTGAACTGTGATTCTCAGATCTGAGCCTTTTGAGTAAGCTACTAGCACCTGGTTTAACGAATTCAATCTTATCAGAACTAAAATTGGAATAAGTGGTAAGGTTTAATAAAATATGCATCCAGTGGGACATTCAATTTTCCATTCTGCAATTATTTCATTGGGCAGTTGCATAGCAGAAAAGTAAGTTACCTTGTTAATTCTGAAAAGCAAGAACAAGAAGGAGGGTAAGATTAAGGAAAGTCAGAAATGGCTGCTAAAACTGCCTCATCTCCATCCAGTCTTCTTACAGTGGTTCCCTCAAGTCTTTTTTTCTCTCTTTTGCCAGTCCTGGGGCTTGAACCCAGGGCCTGGGCACTGTCCCTGAACTAGCACTCCACTACTTGAGCCACAGAGGCACTTCTGGCTTTTTTTTTGTTTATGTGTTACTGAGGTATCAACCCAGAGCTTTATGCTTGCTAGACAAGCACTCTACCACTAAGCCACATTCCCAGCCCTCATGTCTGTCTTTTCAATACAAATCTTATACCTCATTCCTGCTTATGGAGTTCCATGGATCCTAAGATAAATCCATGGTCTATGCAATACCACTGAATCTTGTCACCACATAACTTGTTTTATGGTTCCACACACAATCAGGATTACTGTGCCTTTATTACCTCTCCTGTTTACCTCTCTGTTCTTAGTGCTAGCAAAATACTCCTATATGACTGGAATTCAAAAATATTTGCCAAATCAATATAAATAGCCCCAGGATAGAAGAATTATATATGACCCTTGTATGCTTCTAGAATTATCTATGGGAAAAAACTGCTAGAGAAGGGTAACATCAACTGTTTTAGAATTAGACTGAACTCTAGCTGGAACTGCTAGAAACTTGAATATTACCAAACTTCTTTCTCTTGTCTTAAGTAGTAACAAAGCTCTGTTACCTCCTTAGGACTTCCTCAAATCTAGTCACTTACACTCTTACACTCCAGTTTTACTTGAAATCATCATTGTTTCTTCCTTGGATTTATCCAACAATTCCCCTATTCTGACTCCAGTTGTGGTCCATCTTTAATCCATTTCCCACTTCAGTTGAAGGGATTTTTCCAAATGCATACCTTTTTCTTAAAAAAAAAATGCTTTTGTTCTCTCCTTTTCTTTCAGAATAAAGGCTTTTTATAACTTAATCCCTACTTACCACTATGGTACTTCTTGTGCTCTCCAAATTCCATTCTAAATATGTACATGTTGGCCATACTAAATATTTATAAAACTATATACACTCTGCTTTCATGCCTTGGCAATTGCAATGATTTCTTCTTGGTCCATCCTTCCCCACTTCGCAGGGCTAATTATTCCTCTTACTAATTAAATTGAGACCCCTAACAGAACTCACCATAAGTGCCTGGCATATGCTGGTGGCAACTTTATTCAGATGGTTTGCAGTATATGAATTTAGGTGATGGTTCTTTGCCCTGTTGTTCTGGCAGGTCTTTGTATTTGATGTTGGACAGAAAACTTGGAAATCTTATGATTGGTCACAGATTACAACTGTGGCAGCTTTTGGGAAATACGACGCGGAATTGATGTGCTATGCTCATTCAAAAGGAGCCAGAATAGTGCTAAAAGGTATGTTCTTGTCAGATATATGGATCAGCAACCTGATAAATTTACCTGCATCATTGCTATAGTCCTTGACTTAGAAGTCTTTTTTTAAATGCTTCTTTTTTTTTTTTTTTGTCGTGGGGCTTGAACTCTGGGCTTGGGTGCTGTCCTGCCTGGGCTGGCTTTGAATCGCGATCCTCAGATCTTAGCCTCCTGAGTAGCTAGGATTACAGGCGTGAGCCACTGGCACCCATTTTAAATGCTTCTTAAGTAATATCTCTTAAATACTAAAAAATTCATTTTACAAAGAGATATATTTTTAATTGTTATTATAAAGGTGATGTATAGAGGGGTTACAGTTACATAAATCAGGGATAATTTTAAAGAATTATGTTTGGCTTGAACAAAATGTGACTAATTGGCATGCAGACCTTTATCAATTTCTGCTTCTAATTTATATTTTTATCATTAATAGTTACTTTGGAGATTAGTGAGCAATGTCTTTCTATTATTTGGTATAATATTTCTTTACTTGGAAAACCTGGAGGCTTAGTATTGCAAAAATAATGACATTATTATCGTTGAAGACATGGTGTCTTTGGAAATGTGACAAAGAAATGGCATTTAACTGAAAAGCATATGTTCAGATGATATGTATTTCATCCACAGGAGATGTATCCCTAAAGGATATTGTTGATCCCACTTTCAGAGCATCCTGGATAACTCAGAAAGTTAAATTGGCCAAAACTCAGTATATGGATGGAATTAATCTAGACATAGAGCAAGAAGTTAATTGTTCATCACCTGAATATGATGCATTAACAGCTTTAGTCAAAGAAACCACAGACTCTTTCCATCGTGAGATTGAGGGATCACAGGTAAAAAACACTCATTTTCTTTTAAAACTCTATTTTTTCCATATCAAAATGGATTATGAAGATCTGATTCTAGTTTATAGTAACCAAAGATTTCAGCATGTATTCATTAAACATTATTTTGCTCTTTTGATGCTTATTTAAGTAATTTTATGGTCCTAAGTCTGTACTCTGTTCACCTAAAAATAAAACACTAGGATTGTTCACCTACTTTCCTTGAAAGCGGGGTTATCAGTATTAAATACTTGGACATGGTGGGTGCCTACCTGTAATCACAGTAATTAGAAAGTAGAGCTATGAGGATCCCAATCCAAGGCTAGTCTGGGCAAGACTTTGAGACCCTATCTGAAAAACTAAGAATAAAATGGACTTGAAGCATGGCTCAAGTGATAAAGAATGTTTGCCTAGCAAACACAAGGCCCTTAGTTCAATCCCAAGTAGTAACAGAAAAAAAAGTTTAATCCATTGTATACACACACACACACACACACACACACACACACACACACACACACACACACACACACACACACACACACACACACACACACACACACACACACACACACACACACACACACACACACACAGCTAGTGGTCTCCTACTTTGAGCCATAACTCCACTTCCAGTGGGCTGGGAAGGTGGCTCAGTGGTAGAGTGCTTGCCTTGCATGCATAAGGCCCTGAGTTTGATTCCTCAGCACCACATAAGCAAAAAGAAAAAAGCTGGAAGTGGCGCTGTGGCTCAAGTGGTAGAGCACTAGCCTTGAGTTGAAGAGCTGAGGGACAGCGCCCAGGCCCAGAGTTCAGGCCCCACGACCGGACCCCCCCCCCCCCCCCCAAAAAAAAAAAAGTGTCTCATGGACTTCCCTGCTTGGGCAGGTTTTGAACTGTAGTCCTCAGATCTCAGCTTCCTGAGTAGTAGGATTACAAGCATTAGCAACCAGCTAATGCCGCTATTCTTAACCCAGTCTCACAATCAGCTGACTGTGCTTGTGTAAAACTCAGCAACATCGATTGAGTGAGTGGGATAGAGCCTAGAGACCTGCATTTTCAGTTTCCAGTATGTTGTTCATATATATTTTAGAACTGTAGGTAGAATATAAGAATGACATAAGGACATATGATTAGGTGAGTAGGGAGGTCTGTCACTATGGAATTCACCTTTTCAGATGAAGACACCACAGATGAAGAATAGCAAGACCTGACATTCAATGTACTTTGCCCTTCTCTTCACAAGTTTTGATCTCAGAAAATTTTCTTTTGATTTTTAGCTAGTTGTTACTAGTAGGCTAGAATTGGTATGTGGAAAACAGCCTATTTTCCAGTTCCAAGGACAAGATAAAGAGACCTTGAGAAGGAATATCTATTTCCATATTTGAGGGTGAGTGAAACAATTTAGACAACTATGCCAAGCTTATATTAGGTTAATCAGTGGAAGGAACAATTGCAAATGTAGGACAGATTGTAAAAGACCTAGAATATCTGGAGTATACTCTTTTGTTTCCTCTGTGTTTGTGTGTGTGTGGGGGGGGTTATGTTTTTGTGGTTTTTTTTGTTGTTGTTGTTCTAACACTGGGGCTTGAACTCAGGGCCTTAAGCTCTTACTCTGCTGTTTTGTTCATAGCTGACCCTGAACCACGAGTCATATCCCCAGTTCTGGCTTTTTTGCTGGTTAGCTGGAAATAAGAATCTTTGGATTTGTCTGCCGCTGGCTTTGAGCCACAATCCTTAGATAGCAGCTTTCTGAGTAACTAGGATTATAGGCATGATACTGGGATACTGGGTAAGGGAGTGCCAGTTTTTGAGTTTAAACCCTAGTACTACCAAATAAATAAATAAAAAGAGCATTTAAAAAAACTTCATTAAGACTAGAATCTAAGCCAAGACTAAGACTAGAATCAAGCCATGACTATAATCTAAGTCTTTGATTTCTTGTCTAATATGAGATAATATGCTACTTTCTCATTAATATAAGATCAACTATGACAGGAAGATAGTCTTAGTATTCAGGAAATAGGGATGGAATAACAAAATGGAATTGAAATGGAATAACAAAATATAGTTGAAACTCTGCTTGAGGTAGTCATTTATTTTTCCTATTACTATAATACAGCTTCTGTTTTAAATTGTAGACAATGACAGATGGGACCAATATGTACAAATTTCATATTATAACCTATTTTAGTGTAGAACTAAGAAAGGTTTGTAGCCTTATTTTTAAGTAATACCTGAAGAAGTATAAAGAGAACTTTGAGAAAGTCTCGAAAGAGTTTTGCTAAGATAAACTAGCCAATTATAAAAATTTTACTTCAAGTGTCTCAAATTTTTATTATATTAACTAAAAGAATTTTGAGATTTTAAAGTATTTCTTCCATACATTAAAATAATGTGTAGTAATATTTAGTTAAAGCACTAAACAGATATTTTGAAGAAGCTTTGGCTTACTGAATGCTTGGTCACCATTCATTTGAAAGATAATATGTCACTTAAGTTTTATTAGAATATTTCCATAAAATAAGAGTGTTTTCAGCATTTTGAGTTGAAAAGCTTGTAACTGTGCACCATAAAACTCTACAGTTCTCTAACTGTAATATTAGACCAAAGCCATGAAATATGATTGTGAATCAGGTACTCACACTATAGCCAGGTTGTGTCAACTTGACGGGCAGCTACTTTTAATAACTTTTATATTTGTATTTTTTAGTGCGTCTTTATTTTTCATTTGCCATTAAACCTGCTTATCTTAATCAGCTGAACTACTAGTCCAGGGTCTGAAGATAATTGAGTGTAAAACTCCTTTTCTGTATAATGTCCTGCTCCCGGAAATTGTACATCCAAATACACACATATAGGCCAGTCTGATGTCAAAAATATATTTCTTAGTGTCAAATCTTAAATTCATGCACTGTAAGCAGTTCTTTTTTCCTATTGTAGTATGAAGCAAGAAAATACATAATAAAAACATCTGCTATTATATGCATGTTTGATTATATTATGTGACATATTATGTTTCTCAAAGGTAACCTTTGATGTAGCTTGGTCTCCAAAAAACATAGACAGAAGATGCTATAATTATACTGGAATTGCAGATGCTTGTGACTTTCTTTTTGTGATGTCTTATGATGAACAAAGTCAGGTCTGGTCAGAATGTGTTGCAGCAGCCAATGCTCCCTATAATCAGACATTAACTGGTAAGAATCTACAGAATGATCATTAGTTATATTAACTCCACAACTGCAGACATTAGGTATCTTTTAATACTCCTAAATTATTTGCATATCCTTTATATATGTAAAGCATGCTTGAAACGTAAAAGTCACTTGTTTGGAGGGCTTTAATAGTTACAAAATGTTTTAAAACTTTGAAGTTTTCACTTAATTCTTGTAATAACCTTGTGAGATAGCTATATTATCACTAATATCACTAACCCTCTATTATAGATGGTTACTAACCCTCTATTATAGATGGTTATACAACTATTAAGTATTATATATTGGGACTCTAACTTCAAGTCTAACATTTTTGCCATGCAGTCACCTAAGGAAGATATTTATCTAGACTCTGACAGAATGTTTTTGTTAAAATAATCCTTAGTTTAAGAGAAAAGATAATTATGAGTACCAACCACAGATGAACAGAATTGGCTTTATCTTTTTGTTATTTTGATGTGTGTGTGTATGTGTTTTGTGTTTGATTTTGAGACAAGTTCTCACTACGCAGTCTAGTATGGTCTCTCTTGATTCTATTTTAACATCTCAAATGTTAGAATTACAAATGTGCACCATCCTGCCCAGCAACTTTATATTATTCAATATTAGTATTTGCAACATATTAAATATTGTATTACTATTAGAACTGAGAATACCAATGACCTCCCATTCATATGATTTGGTCTTTGTATTTTTCTCTACAAAATTTGGGTTAGCTCAGGAGGCATAGGTAGGAAGTTTTCAGTCTAAGGTCAACTCTGGGCAAAAATGTGACTCTGAAAAGTAAACTAAAGCACAAAGAATAGCAAATGGGAAGATCTGAGTTCAAACCCCAGTATTGGAAAAAAGAATAAATTCATATTGGGTTATTTCCCACCAATTGAATAAAAGATGGTTTGCTGGCTTTTGAACTTAGATGAAATTTCTAGAGCAGTTACTTTTGATATGTAAATATTTTTTCTTTTTCATATAGAAATTGAAATGTTAGAATCTGGCCTCATTTTTCATCATATCCTAATTGTTTGGATACATTAGTCTGGTCATAAACATATTCTGTTGAAATTCGGAAACATCATAACTTATAACAACTTTATAATTATAAAGCAATTATTTAATTCAGGAATCCCAACTCTGTATCACCCAATGGAAAAGATATTGTACACTGTAAATAACATGTTAATTTTCACATATGCTTGGAAATGAAGCATTCTCCATCCCTATTTTTAAATATTTAACAGAGCAAGTAACATTAAAGGCTCTGAAAAACAATAAACTTATTTAATTCAACACTCTGGATAGTCAAGGAATATTTCATGGTAGGAAAACATGTTTTCAGCACTGGACAGGAAAAGGATTGGTAGGTCTAGCATTTATTCATCTTTCTTTTTGTTTCCTACAACTCTATCATTAGGATACTTCTGTGATATTTGTAAAACATGGGGCACTTATGCTTTCAATTGGAAATTTTGAGTGCATTGCTGCCAAGAAGTATATGATTTATAGAACTTGTTTGAAACTTTAGAATCTAATAAAACAAATGTATCATCTTTATAGCTTATTGATGAGATCAAGATGCCATTCTTTCTAGAGTTGTATTTTTTTTTTTTTTTTTTTGGGTCCGGTCCCGGGGCCTGAACTCTGGGCCTGGGTGCTGTCCCTCAGCTCTTCAGCTCAAGGCTAGCACTCTATCACTTGAGCCACAGCGCCACTTTCGGCTTTTTTCTTTTTGCTTATGTGGTGCTGAGGAATCAAACGCAGGGCCTCATGCATGCAAGGCAAGCGCTCTACCACTGAGCCACCTTCCCAGCCCTAGAGTTGTATTTTCTGAATTTTGTTTTAATATGATCAGAATTGTTTTGGATGTTTTATCTTACTCAAAAGAAATCGTTTAGAAATAAAGATGTAATAAACTGAATTTTTTCATTCATTCATTCATTCTCACAAAATGCTGTGGGTTGAACCCAGGGCATCAAATGTGCTAGGCATTCACATTTACTACCAAGCCACACTCCCAGCAGGAGTTATAATTCTTCAGTCTTGACTTTTATAATATCATAGTAGAGAAACACAATTGGAATTTTGCATAAGTGTACCTGTGTTTACAAAGCAAAATTCCGAACGGTTGCATAATTTGTATGAATGCATTTATAGATATAGGAAGGGTAAGCTAAGTTTTTTTCTATCCCTCTGACTAGGATATAATGACTACATCAAGATGGGCATTAACCCTAAGAAACTTGTAATGGGTGTTCCCTGGTATGGTTATGATTATACCTGCTTGAATCTATCTGAGGTAAGAAGAGGTTGTTTGTATTTAATTTCCCACAATTATATATTTTGTATCTCTATGACTATATAACCAATTTATATAAAAATTTTGAAATACAAGTTGAGACTAAATATTTGTTTTTAATTATTTAGTCCCATAGGTGCTTCTGAATGTTATACCTTTTTTTCAGTTAGGAATTATTTAACTTTTATTCTTTAGAGATAGTTTGTTTATTGGTAGCTTTTATTTAATTTCTAACTATGGGTTTTAATTTTTCTTCTGTTTGGGTCTTAAGAGTTACTTGATAGTCTACTTTACAAACATTTTTTTTCCTAGGAGCACATTTGTACCATTGCAAAAGTCCCTTTCCGGGGGGCTCCTTGTAGTGATGCCGCAGGACGTCAGGTGCCCTATAAAACCATCATGAAGCAAATAAATAGTTCTTTTTCTGGAAGTCAATGGAATAAAGATCAACAGGCTCCTTACTATAACTATAAAGTAAGTCTTTGACAGACTTGGAAGATATATTGTCTTAGTTTCCATAACTGTATATTTTATAACTAAATATTTGGTATTAGGAATCTCTGTCTCTGCTGTTAACATGAGTAAACTTGTCTATGAATGTATGTCATCAAGAACTCTAGTTTCCTGGGGAACAATTCAAGTTGTGCTAATAATACAACATCCTTCTTGGGCCACTTCATTTTAGATGAAATATAAAAATATGCATATCATAAACAGATCTTTCCCAATAGTTGACAGTTAAGATGTCATCTTTTGAAAGGTCTTTAGGCCAAACATAGGTTACTAGTTCTAAATGACTCCATTTCAAAGTAGTCTAAAGCTTCTGATGAGACTCAGGGCAGAATAAGGCTGAGAGGAAATACCATCATAGGCTTTACAAGGCAAAACTTGTTACCTTTCAAATTAATTATTAAAATAACTTATATGTAATGTTAAAGATTATATGTAATATTAAATGGCTTAGGTGGTAGAATACAGTCAGTGAGTGAAAGCATCAGATACTGAGTTGGACTTCTGGTCTTGTGGGGGAAAATATATAGAAGGAAGCTTGAAGAAATACAGTAAACTATTAGTGATTGTGACAGGTAATATTTGAATACTGTATTGCTATAGTTTTGAATACTAAAATGCTATACCAGATAGACAAAGAAATGTTTGATTCTCAAAATTAACATTTAGCATAAAAACATTTTCAAGTCTTAAAGATTGAAGTACAAATAATCAGAGCATGTTACATTATATTCCTTTAAAAGAAGTCTTAAAATGCTATAAGTTAATGCTGGAAAGATTTCTAGTGTGTGTGTGTGTATGCGCCAGAATCCGGGATTGAACTCAGGGCCTCATGTTCTCAGCTTTTTCACTCATGGATGGCATTCTTCCTGTTCTAAGTTTTTGCTGGTAACCTGGAGATAGATTTATTCGTCCCAGCTGGCTTCAACCTGTGATCCTCGCTAAAATTACAGGCATAAGCTACTGGTGCTTGGTGAATCCAGCAATTTTTGATGGAAAATTGGAGACAGAGGCTCATGGACTTTTTTGCTCAGACTGATTTTGAACCAAGATCCTCAGATCTCAGCCTCCTCAGTATGAAGGATTGTAGGCATAAGCCACTGATACCTGGTCAAGATAAATGTTTCTGACTTATTATCTGATACTCATTTATAAAATATGGCAACCAACACACTATATAGAATAAATTAGAATTAATATACACATAGAGCCTGTGTATCAATTACATAGGATATATATGTTAAGCTTATATAAGATATATATATATATATATATATATATATGTCAAGCCTTCCAAACTTCAGATTCAAAATTATAACCCTATTAGTTAAATTAGGATCCTCTTTTCTGAGAATTGTTAATATTATACACACATACAAACACGCACATATACATGCACACATACATTCCATGGTCAAATATATTTAGAAAACACTGTATACCATATGTCTTAGAGATTTCTAAGTTGTTAAAGGATTTAAGAAGTGCTATAATATATAAAGCCACTTAATTATTTAACATGGAACCCCCAATTTCATAGCTATCTCTGAAACACACAGGGGAATAGTGTTTCATGAGTATAATTTATAACAACTTTGATACTCAATTACATTTAATTTAAAACATAATTACTATAGTTATATTTATAATATGTAATAAGATGAAATGATAGTCTATACTTCAATACGCTGGTTTTTCTTATCCCTGACTTATTTTCTTTAATTAGTTATAAGATGCAGGAATATATTTTTTCTAAAGACTTTTAATGAACAAGAAAAATTTATATATGTATATATATGTATATATATGTATATATGTTTATATATGTATATATATGTATATATATGTATATATATGTTTACAGTGTACAAATGTTTTTTATATGCATACACTGGAATAATGGTTAAATCAAACTGCTGACACACATTACTTCACATACTTTTATGGTGAGCTTACTTAAAATTTCAGCAATTATCATCTGTAGTTCATTGCTGTTAACAGTAGTCATGATGATGTACAAATGATCCCTTGAACTTATTTCTTGTATTTATCTGAAGTACTGTGTCCTTTGGCCAATAACACATTCACCCACCTATGGCCTCTGATAACCACAACCTTTTAGTTTCTATTAAGTGTGTACATTAAGTGTGTATATTTAATTTCTTAGACACATGTCCATTTAAAAATGTTTTTGATTAATGTATTAATTGTACATATTAATGGAGTTTAATGTGATATTTCAACCCATGCATACAACATGCACTGAATTAGCCTTTTTCTCTTTCATGACTTATTTATGTATGGCACCTCTGAGCTTCTGTCCTCTAAATCTTCATAAAATACATAGTAGGTTTTTTTTTTTTTGGTCGGTCGTGGGGCTTGAACTCTGGGCCTGGGTGCTGTCCCTCAGCTCTTCAGCTCAAGGCGAGCGCTCTACCACTTGAGCTACAGTGCCACTTCCCATAGTAGGTTTTTGTGAACTATATACTTATCGTTTTATACTTTCAAACACTAGATTGTACTCCTTCTATCTAACTGTGTTTTGGTAAATATAGTCTAACCAGAACATATTCTCTGAGGTCAAAGAATTAAGAAAACATTCTAGTGAGCATTGGAGGCCATTTAATGGCACTTTAGAAAAGAGTCTCGTTTATAAATGCTACATTTCTTTTTTTTATTCATTATGTAGTAGTAAAAAATCCAGTTTCCATTTTGTTTGAAGAGATTCATTCTGCTTCAGCAATAGCAGTTTCATCTTGAACTCAATGTTCTGGAAAGCATATATTTTAATAATGCTTAAATCAACCAATTTACTGTTTGATCATTCCCTATTTTGAGACACTTAACAATATTAAAAATGTCCAGTTATTGGCTAGAATGATGGCATATTCAAAATGGGTATACTTTTGAGTTTGCCTTTGAATCTTCAAAAATCTTTCATATTATTTACAGACTTTACAAGTTTCCCTTTAGTCAAAATTGACAAATGCCTAGAGCATTATGCATGGTTTCATCTAAAAATGTTAAAGGATGGGATAACAACTGGGTGTGGTGGTAGTGACTTGTCTAATTCTAACCCTTGAAAGGCTAACACAGCAGGATGGAGTTTGAAGTCAGCCTGGCCTAAATAAATCACAAACCAAACCAAAAAAAGAGAATGGGGTACAAGATATAAAATGAGATTGTTTTTTAAATGAGATATTCTTGAATATAAGGAATCTACCATACTAAAATATACCACAGTTTATTTACCAAGTTCTACCATTAAACATTACTTGCATTTGGGCTGGATGCATGGCTCAAGCAGGAGAGTGCCTGCATAGCAAGCATGAAGCCTTGAGTTCAAAATCTAGTAAGTCCAATACAATATATTACTGGCATTCATTTAGTGTTGTCCTTCAGTAGTCTCAAATGTATATAAAATCAGAAAATTGTCTTTAGTCATAGTCTTCTTTTTTTCCTTCCTTCCTTCCTTCCTTCCTTCCTTCCTTCCTTCCTTCCTTCCTTCCTTCCTTCCTTCCTTCCTTTCCTTCCTTCCTTCCTTCCTTCCTCCCTCCCTCCTTCTTTCCTTCCTTCTTACCTACCTGCCTACCTACCTGCCTACCTTCCTACCTACCTATCTACCTACTTACTTACCTTTATTGAAGGTAGGTTGTTGATTCTGGCACTTGAACTCAGGGCCTGGGCACTGTCCCTGAGCTTTTTTTTGCTTAAGGCTAGCACTCTACAACTTTAGCCACAGATCCACTTTGGTCTTGGTATATTTTGATCCTTTTGGCATTTTGGTGGCTAACTGGAGATAAGAGTCTCACAGACTTTCTTGCTTGGGCTGGCTTTAAACCTTCATCCTCAGATCTCAGTCTCCTGAGTTGAAAGGATTACAGGTGTGAGCCACCAGACCCTGGTTGTCTTTTATCTCTTGTCTGGAGAGGAGGTTTTATAGGGTAGAAGGTACCATTATCTAGTTTATGGTTCTAAAGCATTATCTAGTTTATGGTTCTAAAGTCACTGATGGAATCACTTGTAATAGTCTTTTAAAAAGAATCAATTTTGTAAGACTGACAAAATGAGATTCTTTCCTCCCCCATTCCCATTACCTTTGGCTGATTCATCATAGATAAAAATCATTCCTGAAGCTCCTAGCTAGGCACACTTCCAGGAACTGTAGAAAATACAAAACACTGTATAAGCTGGTTTTAGTGGATCACCATAGTGATTCCTAAATTTCATTGCATTTCAGAATCACCTAACATTAAAACACAACATTCACACATACACACACACACACACACACACACACACACACACACACACAAACACACACACACACACACCCAGCATCAACCCTAAGGTTTAACGTGGTATGGAGCAAAGGAATCTGTACTTTTAAAAGGTCTACAGTGATTCTGATGTGCATTTGGTTGCTAATCTTTAGATAATATCACGGAAAGAATCTTAGGACATGAGAAGGAACTTAAATAGAATATACTAGAAGAAGTGGAGCTGTGGCTCAAGTAGTGGAGTGCTACTTTGGGTACAAAAGCTAAATGACAATGCTCAGGCCCTGAGTTCAAATTCCAGTACTGACATTAAAAAAATGCTTCTCCCTTGGATTGTAGGCATGACTCAGGTGACAGAGTGCTAGCCAGTGAGCATTAATTATTTCCTTGAATCTTTTGTGTGGTACGTGTGTACGTGATGATACAGGTGCTTCAACTCAGGGCCTAAGTGATAGCTTTTTCACTCAAGGCTAGTGCTCTGCCATTCGAGCCATAGCTCCAGTTCTGGCTTTTTGCTAATTAAGTGGAGATACATCTCTTGGATTTTCCTGCCCAGGCTGGCTTTGAACCACCCTGAGTAGTCAGGATTATAGGCCTGGGCCACTGGCACCCAGCCTTTCTGAATCATAGGATCCTTTCTGAATCATAGAATACTTTCTTGAATCATAGGATCTTTTCTGAATCCTTCCTGAATCATAGGATGGAAGGACTTTCTTTCCTCACTGTACTGAATACTTTAAATTTCCATTTTAATTTTCTTGTATAGGATCCTGCTGGCCATTTTCATCAAGTATGGTATGATAACCCTCAAAGCATTTCTTTAAAGGCAGCATATATCCAAAACCATGACTTACGGGGCATTGGTATGTGGAATGCAAACGCTCTTGACTACTCTAAAGATACTGTCGCCAAACAGCAAACTGAAGAAATGTGGAAAGCCTTAAAGCCAAAGCTATGACAGAGATGAACATCTTTCGTTTAACTACTAAGATTTACAAAAATGTTCTGTATCAAAGACCTAAATTCTTCAAGAGAAAAAAATGTGTACACTTTGGCCATGTTGCTGTAACTTTAGTTATTAGTATACTCAAAACTAAATAAAAAATAAGAACTACTTTGAGTTCAGAAACTACACCTTTTAAGTATCCAGGAAGATATGGTAAGAAATATATCAACTTACTATATAAATATTCTTCTGTGTTCTAACATTATAATACAAATAGGAACACTTTCTAAAATTACTATGCTAACGTTTCCCTTGATATCAGACATACTCATAAAAAATGTGAATCTGGAGATGTCACGGAAATGGAGTGGTGAATATGATCAAAGGTCCATATGTATAAACATGTCATAATGACACTCATTTTGTACAATTAATATGTACTAATAGGGCTGGGAAGGTGGCTCAGTGGTAGAGCGCTTGCCTTGCATGCCTGAGGCCCTGGGTTCGATTCCTCAGCACCACATACACAAAAAGAAAAAAGCTGGAAGTGGCACTGTGGCTCAAGTGGTAGAGCGCTAGCCTTGAGCTGAAGAGCTGAGGGACAGCGCCCAGGCCCAGAGTTCAGGCCCCATGACCGGATCCCCCCCCCAAAAAAATGTACTAATAAAAAGAATATGTATAGTTTGAAGTAAAATTGAGAAGTGAGTTTTTTGTACTTTCTTTCACAATAAATCTTACATTTGAAACCTGGAATTTTACATCTTTACATCATCTAACTGGTGAAAATAGTTTGGCTTTCTGACTCCTTATAGTATGTACTCGCATTCTGAGTGCGTCCTGCAGTCATTTACACCGCAAGACATTGAGAGAGTGAGGTGGAAAAGGAATGCAAAAGATCAGATTTATTGAAGAAGATAATTTAGTAATATTCTGAATTTGTAAATTAGAGCTACCTCATATTTTCCAAGTTATTTTATGAGGTTTACATGTAAAGCTTTTTGCAATAGGAATACGTTTGTGTTGAACTTGTTTTTTTCAATGTTATTTATACTCCTAGTTACCCAAATATTCATTTATTTGTGAACAACTGTATAACCATTTCTTAGGTAGCTTTTCATAGCTAAATTTTTCTTTTTCTATAGCTATATATTTACTTTTAATTATGTAAAGATAGTATTTTCTCAGCTATTCTAATTTTTCTAAATGATTAATTTTGTGCAAATAATTTTTCTAAAAGAGAAGTCTATTAAGACATACAGATTAAAAATATGTAGACAAACAATTTGCATCCTTGCTCTCTAAATAAATCCTGTCTTCTCTGTATAACCTCCTTAATATTGGAATAAATACTGTTTCAATCATCTGTTAGTTTCTGTTTATATATTATATATGACTACAAAGTGAACGATTTCCTTGGTATTTATTGAATTAAATTTCTAAAACAATCTCTTTGCATTTTAAAATTATCTTTATATTTATAACATATAATAGAAATTCAATTCTTAGATAACAATTTCTATCATAATTTATATAAAATTAGTTTTACTCAAAATATAGTGAGCAGCTAGGTACTAGTGGCTCACTCCTGTAAAATCCTACCTACTCAGGAGGCTAAGATCTGAGGACTGTGGCTCAAAGCCAGCTCAGGCAAGGAAGTCCATGAGTCTCTTATCTCAACCACCAAACAAGCTAGAGTATAGTTGTGACTTAAGTGATAGAGCACTAGGCTTGAGCAAAATAGCTTATGGACATCATCCCTGCATTCAGGCCGCAGGACTGGCACAGACATACATATACTCACACACACACATGCACACATATATACATATATCTTTTATAAATATGTAATTAAGTCTATATATATATGTATTCCACACAGATTATATAACCTATATGGATTATTATATAATCTAATTATAGATAATACTATAAAATTCTATAGATATAACACTGCCTACATAATCTATATCAATTATATTATAGATAATATAGATTATATTATAATTGATGTGATTAAATCTGTTTTCATGCAGACATACTGGTATTTATTAAAATTATATTTTCCTTGTAATCAGATTTTATAGTTCATACTCAAAATTACCAAAAATAAAAACAAAATACTATTATAGAACAGACTTGAATTTATACATATATACACTCTTTTTTTCTTTTTGCCAGTCCTGGGGTTTGAACTCAGGGGCTGGGCTCTGGCCCCAAGTCTCTCTGTGCACAAGCCTCTCTAGCACTGAGCCCCAGAGACACTGTTTCTGTTTCTGTTGTATTGAGGAATCAAACCTAGGTCTTCATGTGTCAACCACATTCCCACCTCCAGACTTAATTTTTTTTAAATTTTTTTTCAAAGATGGGTTCAAACCCAACAATCGTGTACAATGCATTAGACTTGAAAATGTAAAAGACAAAAAGCAGCCAACATTTAGGTTTATATTACATCTAATATTTCCAAAACATTCTAATACCCACATGAAAAGTAGAAAAAGATAAACCATTTTTACTTCACTTTTTAACCAATACATAAAACTTTTAATCAATATATTATAAAGAGGAAAAATGGTTTAATCTGCAATATTTAAAAACTTAAAGAAATAGCTAAATGAACATACCTAATTGAGAGTGAAAAGCTGGACTAATTTTCTTCTGGGCCAGTTCGGTTTTCAATGTTCTTAAGTCAGAAATTGCTTGTTTTCTCATCTAAAAAAGAATTACCTTCAAATTACTCTTCTGTGTATCCTTTGTTTTTTGTACTATTTTAACTGTTTTCCCTCCTTTGCTTCTTTACTTTCATTCCTAACACTTATTACAGGCAAATTTGTCAGTTATGATACCTGCCTGTCTGTCTGTCTGTCTGTCTGTCTGTCTATCTGTCTATCTATCTATCTATCTATCTATCTATCTATCTATCTATCTATCTATCTATCTATCTATCTATCTATCTATACCTATCTATCATCTACCTATTTTTATTGTAAAGGTGATGCTCAGTTACATAGTTACATAAGGGTTACAGTTACATAAGTCAGGTAGTAAATACATTTCTTTTTTAATTGTGTCACCTCTTCCCTCAGTTTCTCCCAGTTTTTTCCCTCCAAACCCTTCTCCCCCACAAGTTCATTTTCAACAGTGTCTAGTGAATATCACAGCTGCATTTGTTATACCTTTGTCCCACCATTTCTGTGCTTCCTTTTACTCTCCCCCAGATAAACTTACATACAAAAGGTACAGAAATAAAAAAGTGACAAAGGAGAAAAAAAAGAAATATAAGCTCTTCTTCCCATTTCTTGAAGTTCATTTCAGTAGACAATTTTATACGACCATATGCACATGGCTATTGAGCCTTTTGATCCTCTCCTAAGGATATCCATCCTCATTTGATCTCACTGTAAATGTTTATAGAGTCCTGTTTAATTTATCAGGTCCAAGTGCAATTTTTTTTGTCCTTTACATTCTATGTGTTTACTTGTAGATTTATAGGCACATTTTAATTACTACAAATGAGGGAAACCATGCAACCTATGTTTATTTGGGTCTGATTTACTTCACTTAATATAATTTTTTCTAGTATTCTTTCTGATGGAAGCATAGAGTTCCATTGTGTATATACTATGTTTTCTTGCTTCATTTGTCCACTGAGAGACATCTAGGTTGATTCCAGTATAATATATAAGAATATGTAATTCATATTGAGTTAAACATTGATCTCTGGAGTCAGGCACTGGAGGCTTGTAATTTTAGCTACTCAGGAGGCTAAGATCTAAGAATTGGGGTTTAAAGCCAACCCCAGCAAGAAAAGTCAGTGAGACTCATATCTCTACCAAACTACCAGAACAAAGGCCAGAAATAGAACTGTAGCTCAAGTGGTATAGTGCTAGCCTTGAGTAAAAGTAGTTAAGGGACAGTGCCCAGGTACTAAGTTCAAGCCCCCAGACCAGTGTGCACATGCGCACACACACACACTGACATTTGATTTCTGTATTTAAAATTGTAAGCTAGCTGGGCACTGGTGGCTCACGCCTGTAATTCTAGCTACTGAGGAGACTGAGATCTGAGGATCATGGTTCAAAGCCAGCCCAGGTAGGAAAGTCTGTGAGACTCATATCTCCAATTAATCATCAGAAAACTGGAAGTGGTGCTGTGGCTCCAATAGTAGAGTACTGGCCTTGAGCTGTAGAGCTCAGGGGCAGTGCCTAGGCCCAGACCAAGCACCACAACCAACAAAAACAAAAACAAAAAAAAAAAACCAGAACAAACAAAAAACAAAAACAAAAAAATAAGCTTAGCTTAGAAAATTCTGTGACATAAAAAATTTAGACCTGTACTATCCAAGTAGTAGCTAGATGCCATAGCTAATGAAATTTAAATTAAATTTAAAATTCAGTTCCTCAGTCCCTGAAGTTACATTTCAAGTGTTCGGCATCTACAGGTGGTAGTGGCTAAAACTACTGTTGGGAGGGTGAAGTGCAGAATACCTCATCCTTATAGAAAGTTCAATTGGACAGTGCTAATTGTGGGAGGGGTAATTCTGTGCTCTAAATCTATCTCTGATAAAGAGTGAATGGCAAGCATTTCTCTTTTCCTTCCTTCCTTCCTTCCTTTTCTTTTCTTTTTTGTTGGTCATGGGGCCGGAACTCTGGGCCAGGACACTGTCCCTCAACTCTACAGCTCAAAGCTAGCACCCTACCACTAGAGCCTCTTCCGGCTTTTTCTGTTTATGTGGTGCTGAAGAATTGAACCCAGAGCCTCATGCATGTGAGGCAAAGGCAAGCATTTCTATAATTACTGATCTTATTTTTCTGTTCTGTATAGATATACTTGTGTAAAATGTATATTTTTCTTGTTTTCTGTTCAACAAAAAGTTTTTAAATACACTTATTAGGGGCTGGGGTAGCTCAGTGGTTAAGAATTTGCCTCATCGGGGCTGGGAAGATGGCCCAGTGGTAGAGCGCTTGCTTTGCATGCATGAGGCCCTGGGTTCGATTCCTCAGCACCACATAAGCAAAAGAGAAAAAAGCCGGAAGTGGCACTGTGGCTCAAGTGGTAGAGCGCTCGCCTTGAGCTGAAGAGCTGAGGGACAGCGCCCAGGCCCAGAGTTCAGGCCCCACGACCGGACCCAAAAAAAAAAAAAAAAAAAAAAAAGAATTTGCCTCATGCATGAGGCCCCAGATTACATCCCTAGCACTGAAAAAAAAAAAAAAAAAAGAAGACAAGACAGCAAGAAAGGGAAGGAGGGAGGAAAGGAAGAAGGAAGAGAAGGAAGGAAGGAAGGAAGGAAGGAAGGAAGGAAGGAAGGAAGGAAGGAAAGAAGGAAGGAAGGAGAGAAGAATTAGCAAGTAAATATCTATACTAGAGAGAAAGTTTCTATGGAGAAATAATTATGTACAATTTTGTCAAATAAGTATGCCTAGACCATCTACTAAACATCTACTATATGAAAGATCCAATGTGAGAAACACAGCTAAAGGAGTTTTCCCTGAGGTAAACTTAGCATCTAGTTGACAGTCCATGATTCATATTAAAAACAAATAAAATACATATGAAAACTCAAAAGAATGAGATAACTACCCAAGAGAAGAGAAAATTTTATCTAGATTTAGAGGAGTGCTCTGATTGCCCCATCTCCTTAAAGACATACTGTAGTGAACATTTTTTAGTACTCTACCCTATTTCATCAGGTACTACCTTCTTAATGTTAGGAAATGTGGCCCTAATCTTTCTTTATCAATAGCTACATATGCTATTTAATTTAAGGCATAACATTGTGTTAGTGCATTCTTTGACAATAATTATTGATTTTGAGTTAGGTCTAGTTGATCTCCCACCAGGCTAACATGAAAGATATGTACATTTCATGATTCAAGGAGATGTTTCTATTTTGTTTTGGAGAAATGTAATCCTAATTACAATGGCAATTCTTCTCCTACTCTTAAGACTTACTCCCTACTCTTAGACTACTCCTACTCTATAGACTTACTTATGAATAAATACAGAAAAAGTACTTTTAAAATATTTTTATTGTGAAAATACTGTACAGAGGGGTTACAATTACATGGGCAAGATAACGAGTACATTTCTTATCAAGCATTGTTGCCTCCTCCTTTGTTTCCCCTTCCCATCCCTTCCCATCTCCCCCCTCCCCCCAACACTTTACCCCAGTTAGAATGGCTATAATCAAGAACTCTAATAACAACAGATGCTGGAGGGGATGTGGACAGAAGGGAATCTTACTGCAGTGTTGGTGGGAGTGTAAACTTGTTCAACCACTTTGGAAAGTATTATGGAGGTTCCTCAAAAGACTCCATATAGAGCTCCTCTATGACCCAGCAATCCCACTTTTGGGCATTTACCCAAATGATCACAAACAAGACCATACTAAAGCTACCAGCACAACCATGTTTATTGCAGCATTATTTACCATAGCTAAGATATGGAACCAACCCAGACGCCCCTCAGTAGATGAATGGATCAAGAAAATGTGGTATATATACACAATGGAATTCTATGTCTCCATCAGAAAGAATGACATTGCCCATTTGTTAGGAAATGGAAAGACTTGGAAAAAATTATATCAAGTGAAGTAAGCCAGGCCCAAAGAAACATAGGTCCTATGGTTTCCCTTATTTGCAATAACTAGTATATGTCCGAGACAAGCAGAAAAGGTCAGATAAGTTGACGTTAGGTGAAATGAACCCCAAGATAAGTATTCAAATGTTTTTTCTTTCATGCGATTGTTTCTAACATATTTATAAGATGATTTCTTAGTTGCTTTGTATGTCCCTCCCCACGGTATAACCCCTGCTTTTACTGTATTTGATGTTGGTATGTGGAGGGGAAGGGAAAAAACAAATCGTTAAGAACTGTATTGACACAGGGTCATTTTTTTTAGTCATTTTTAGTGAAATTTTACTAAATTTCCCTCAGGCTTGAAACATGCATCATTATAAACAATTATTTTTCTTCTCCAATTGATACTCTAAATTGTTAAAGTAACAATGTTAAGAAGTTAATCATGATGGCCCTTATACTAGTGACACATATATTTGATTAAAATACCAAAATATTTTATTTCAAGATGAATAGGATCTGAATAGGAGAAATACAAGTTACCTTAACTTCTATTATGAGTTTCATTTTATCAGTATCCAATTTTCTCTTAAGTTGGTCAATTGCATGCTGTACCTCAGTGATCTGGATTATAAGATTATTCTGTGTGATATATAAAGAGAGACTTATTTATTTAATAAATGTCCATACATTTTAGAATAAAGTGCCTTGCCAGCATTAATTGAAATGGTAAATGTCAAATGAGAAAATAAAAAACAATCTATTCCATAAAATAAATATTGCTTTGGCATGTATCACTATGACTTTCTGTTGATTTCTGGTCTATCTCTTCTGTCCTACCATTGTTCATTTATTATTTTAAAAATTGGTATCTGTAGTCCTACAAAACCCAGTAACTAGTACTACAAATGGAATAACCCAGGTTTAAGACAATGGCAAGATATTAGAAATTGCCATAATGCTTTATTATCTGAATCAGATTAGAGTTTTTAAATAGAAAGGAAACGATTTAGGACATCCTACTTAAAATAAGAAGACATTTTGGTTCCTTTTATTCAGAGAAGTTTATAAGGTATAGTGGTCGTCACTGAATAAGTTTTTTGTTTGTTTTTGTTTTTTTGGGGCAGTCGTGGGGCTTGAACTCTGGGCTTGGGCGCTGTCCTTGCACTCTTCAGCTCAAGGCAAGTGATCTACCACTTGAGTTACAGCGCCACTTCCTGTTTTCTAGTGGTTTATTGGAGATAAGAGTCTCACGGACTTTCCTGCCCGGGCTGGCTTTGAACCTCGATCCTCAGATCTCAGCCTCCTGAGTAGCAACAATTACAGGCGTGAGCCACCAGCGCCCAGCTTGAATAAGTTATTTAAGAACTGTAAACTTCCACTGGGCCACTGGTGGCTCATGCCTGTAATGCTAACTACTTAGGAGGCAGGGATCTGAGGATCAAAGTTCGAAGCCAGCCCAGTCTGTGAGACTTTTATCTCCAATTTACTACCAAAACAGCTGGCTGTGGAGCTGTGGCTCTAGAGGGAGTACTCTAGCTTTGAGCACAAAAGCTCAGGGATAGCACATAGGTCCTGAATTCAAGTCCCAGGGCTGACACACACAGACTAAAACTAAATTGTGAACTTCCTTTGTGCAAAGGTCCTAACTGGAACTTAATTAAATAGGTATGTTTTTAAAAAACAACTAATATGGACACATAATTATTTGAAGCTATTTGGATTTTATATTAAATTTATCCAAAATAAAAAATTAAAATTTAAAAATTAAAAATCTTTACTATCAATAATAATGTATTTTAAAATCTTCTGGATCAATGGAATCAAACGAAAGTTAAGATGTTAGATGGCTTCTAGAATTATTTTGTCTGCTGTTTAAGTATATGATGGAATTAGTCAATAATAAGATAAAATTAAATCTCTAAGATTCAAGACCATCTCAAGAAAAAAAAGAATCATTAAAAATTTCACAATAATATCAATACCCTAAAAATTTTGGAGGTTCCATCATGCCCCACACCTCCTTAAAGACAGACTGTAGTGAACATTGTTAGTATTCTGCCCTACTACTTCATCAGGTGCTACCTTCTTTATGTTAGGAAATACGAATAGCGGCATATGCTATTTAATCTAAGGCATAACATTGAGTGAGTGCATTCTTTGGCAATAATTATTGATCTCGAGTTAGTTCTAGTTGATCCCCTACCAGGATAAAGTGAAAGATCTGTATATTTCATGATTCAAGGAGAGGTTTCTATTTTGTTTTGGAGATATGTAACCCTAATTACAATTGGCAATTCTACTTCTACTCTTAGTAAAAACAATCATAATGAGCCAACACTTAATAGGGAGGAGATATCAGAAGCACGTAAGACATCATATCTGCTGTTAACTTTCAGCAGCCTTCCATCTATAACATGGTTCAAGAATTTTGTTACTGTGTAAGCAAATTTAAGTCAGTTTTTTTCCTGTTTTTTTTTTTATTGTGAAAATACCATACAGAGGAGTTGCAATTACATGGGCAAGATAATGAGTACATTTATCAAGCATTGTTGCCTCCTCCTTTGTTTCCCCTTCTCATCTCCTCTCACCCCAAGTCAGTTTTGTTATATAGTCTGAAGCATCTTAAATCTCACAACACCAAAAATCATGTTTTCTGAACAGAACATTTCTATAAAAGGACAGCACATGTAGTACCTTAGAGTCTGAGATGTTTGCCAAATTCTTTGGTCTCATCTTGATCTCCCTGGCTTCAAGTTGCATGAGCAATTTTTTATAGTAAAGTTCCAAATCTTCTCGAAGTTTTGTTAAAACCTCTTCTAATGATGATGTGACTTTCTTTGTTTCCAAGTATTTTTTCTTCCAATTATCACAGGCTACAAAAACAAAGCAAAAAGCAAAAAATGAAAACAAAATAAAACCAAAGACTAAATGAACTCTAGGAAATTTGTACAAGAGTTCTTTTTTTTCTTTTTGTCTTGTTTATCTGTCTTTGGGGTCAGGGGGAGTAAAGACATGGAGGGACAATAGATGAACAAACATAGTAGTGGTATTCCATAGACACTGTGTTGAAAATGAACTATATAACTTGTGGGTGGAAAAGGGAGGGGGAAAATGTGGGAGAGTGAAGGAAGTGGGGAACACTGTCTAAAAAGAAATATACTTATTACCTGACTTATGAAGTGGTAATTCCTCTGTATATCACCTTTACAATAATTTAAAAAACCATAAACAGGGGCTGGGAAGGTGGCTCAGTGGTAGAGCGCTTGCCTTGCAAGCCTGAGGCCCTGGGTTCGATTCCTCAGCACCATATAAGCAAAAAGAAAAAAAAAAGCCGGAAGTGGCGCTGTGGCTCAAGTGGTAGAGCGCTAGCCTTGAGCTGAAGAGCTGAGGGACAGCGCCCAGGCCCAGAGTTCAGGCCCCACAACCGGACCCCAAAAAAAAAAAAAAACAACCATAAACAAACAAAACCAAAGACTATAAAGTTGAGTATGGCTAAAGAATTGAACTTTTTAAGAATTGAACAGATTAGATAATAGATTTAGTAGCAGATGATAGACAGACAGATGGATGGATGGATAGATTGTTCCAGTGCTCAAACCCAGGGAAGCACTTGCTAGGCAAATTTTCTTCTCTTTTTTCTTTTCTTTCTTTTTTTTTTTTTGGTTGGTCGTGGGGCTTGAACCCTGGGCCTGGGCACTCTCCTTGCACTCTTCAGCTCAAGGTTAGCTCTCTACCAGTTGATAGGCAAGTTTACTGTCACTGAGCAAACCCCTCCCCCCTCTGAGCCACTAAAATACTTTTAAAATCAAGTTAAGCCCTAGCTTAAAATTCTTAGATGGCTCCTTACCTTATTTAGAATAAAACTCCAACTCTGACAGACTATCTTCTCTTTGCTGATCATTTTTATTTTCTACCTATAATCCTCTTTAAATTCTTAGTTTCATCCTGGGCCTTGACAGTATACTTTTTATTCAGATTGCTTTCACCTTGTTTATATGCCAGCCTCTTTATTAAGCAACTCTGTTCAGAGATATCTTCCTTGAAATCCCTAGCTGAAACCTCTCCTGTCCTATATAATTCTTTATTAGGCTCTTTATAAGTGCTTCTCTAATCAGTAGAGGTTTATTTATTGTTCACCTCCACCAACTTACAAGCAAGCTTCTTAAGGGTGAACCCAGCTCTATTTTATCCATTGCTGGTATCTGTAGCATTTAAGACAATGCCTTGTATGCAGTAGGCTCCTATCTGGTTGATTCATACTTTTTTTAAAATCTTGAATCACTCCCCTTGAAGTAGAAGGTGAGTGATCATCCCATTTTATATATAAACAAAGTGCCAGCTATAGTTAGAGAAATAATTTGACTGAGAAAAAGACTGATCTGTTGCTAATCTGGGTCCTGTCATTTCTAGTCCATTGTTCAAACTTGGCTGATAAAAAATTTACTCTTATAGTACCACAAGGCTGAGTTACTGCTACTAACTACTCCTAGGATAACAATTTAACATTGTGTGGCAGAAAAATCCAACATGTTATGGTATGGATGGGGAACATCTTTTCAAATGTTAGCTCAAATTTTTCAATCAATGAAATGGGTACCTCAAGTCCGTACCTCTTGTGCTATACATGCCTTCCAGTTCTTTTGTGTGTAACTTTGCACTTATCCCACAAACAAAAATGGCTAGTTGGAGGCTTTTCAGTAGCACAAGCCAGAGTGAAATAAATTAAAAAATCTCCTATAGAATCCCTCAATGCATTTTCAATATATTGTAGTGTCAATAATCTTATCTAAGATGATTCTCCAAGACAAACTAAGACTCTCAAATAATTTTACTTTGGTGCTAGCAGCTCCTCAGCAGCCACCAGCACTCTTTCAGAAAGTCTCTCAACATAAGGCTTCAGCTTCTTTGCACTTCATTCCTTCACTACACAATTTGTCTTACTAATGTCCCCATTACAATGAAACCTAAAAGCAGTTCACTTGTTTTGATTTCAAATTCTGCTGAATACTGACAGGTCTCAGTGGTAGAGCACTTGCCTTGCATGCATGAGGCCCTGAGTTCAATTCCTCAGCACCACATAAGCAGAAAAAAAAAAGCTATGGCTTAAATGGTAGCATGCTAGCCTTGAGCTGAAGAGCTGAGGGACAGCGCCCAGGCCCAGAGTTCAGGCCCCATGACCAGACCCCCCACCCCCCAAAAAAGTTGAATACTGACCTGGTTTTCCTATATTATATCATTCTAATCAGGTATTACTTAAAATATAACAGTAATATAGTAATATAAAATTATTATTATCATTATTACAGTACTAGGCATTAAACAAAGGCCTTATACACGCTGGGCAAACTCTCCACCACTTGAGCTGTGCTGCCAGCTCCTTTACTTATATTTTATTTTTGAGATCTCAGTAACTTTTCCAGGGCTGGTCTCCAACTCACAATCCTTCTGCCTAGGAGGAGTGTAAGATAACTAGCTAGAATTATAAGATAACTCTGTCATTTATTTTAAAAATATTCTTTAAAACTTAAGTGTTCTTCACTGTGATAAAGTCTATGTAATAAACTTTACCTTGGTATCGTTTCAATTTGCTTTGTTCAAATAGCTTTTCAACTTTTTTATTTAGTTCTTCTCTAACATTTTCCAGATATTTTCTTTCTTCCCTTACTTGTTTCATTTGTTCAATAATCTTCTGTCCTAAAGAAATTATAATACATACTCATTAATGCTTAAAGCCTAATAGATGGCTTATATCCTAAAAGAATGTAATACTTAAAAGTGTATACAAAACAAGAATAATTTTTACCAAAAACTCTTCTTTTTTATGCTCTTAATATTATGGAGAATGTTTTGGTTTCTAATACTGAATTAATAAAATATAGCATCTCTTGAATTTACAGATATATGTAGAAACAATATTAATTTATGCTTATCTGTTTTGGTAAATGTGTTGGGAAAAATTATTAAACTAACATCTTACACTGAGAATGTATATTTTAGAACAAAATAGTATTAGTGACTGAATATATGAAACAGACAAATACATATTTTAATAATTATAGAATTTTGTAATAATTATATATTTTAATCTTTTTTTTCCATGCTAGTCCTGAGGCTTGAACTTAGGGTGTAAGTGCTGTCCCTGAGCCTTTGTGTTCAAGACTACTGCTCTACCACTTGAGCCATAGCTCCACTTCCAGCTTTTTTGGTGGTTAATTGGACACAGAGTCTCACAGACTTTCCTGTCCAGGCTAACTTTGAACCAAGATCCTCAAATCTCAGCTCCTTGTAGTAGCTGGGATTACAGATGTGAGCCACTGCCACCTAATTTAAGAGTGTAGTTCAGTGACATTAAGCATATACATATTATACAATCAGCACTACCACTGTTTCCAGAATGTTTTTCTTTTCCTGAACTAGGAACTCTGTGTGATCATAACTCCTTATTAACACATTTATCCCACAGAACCATTTTCCAGTGTCGCAATACTTACTCTCCATTTGTAATAAAGAACTATCAGATATTCCTGATGAAAGAACAGGTTGAAAAGGAAATGAAGGAAAGTCAATGAGATCTGGTAGGATGTTGTGCTCTTTTTCATCTAGCTGTAAGAAAACATGAAAATCAATTGGATCTGGTAGGGCAACACATTCTTTTTGCATTTGTCTGAAACTATTTGTCAGTGGACACTAGCAATGTGTTTATTTACATACTGATGGATTTTGATTTTGTATTTATAGCTACAGATTCTCCCTCATACTCCTGTCTATTTTATGATTAATTATTAATTTTACATACTAAAAATTTTAATAAAGAACACATTCTTTTTATTTTTCTTTCTTTTTGGTTAGTACTGGGGGTTGAATTTAGGGCCTTGTTCTTGTAAGGTAGGTTGTCTACTACTGTGCCATAAAACTAGTCTCACTTTGGCTTATTTTCAAGGTAGGGCCTCAGTTTATGCTTGGCTGGAATGGGCTTAATAGGATCACTTTTAGTTTTCTAATACTGCTTTATTTTTTTTCATCCAGAATCAAATTTAATCATTTATATTTACCTAGAAAATTAGTCACCATATTTTCCATGTTTTAGCATAGGTTTTCATTTTATTTATGTGTATATTTATGTATTATGTATTAATTTATTTATGTATTTATGTTTGGTGATATGGGTTGAACCCAGGGCTGTGTAATCACTTGGGCTTGCTTGCTCTGCTGGCATTCCACCACTTGAGCCACCCCTCCAGTCTTACATTTTATTCTTATATGTTTATTGTCATGTTTGTGTTTGTATTACCTTTATATTTTAAAAATTTTTATTTTCTACCTTTTAACAAACTACTTCAAACCTTATCATGTTGATGTTTTTTTCACTACTATTTTATAGATCTTGTTTTCAACTCTATGTTTTTACTTCTATAAACTCCTTAGTTTCTACTTTTAATTCATCAACTTCTTACTTTGATCTTTAGTATTTTTTTTCCAGACTATTTTATTTTATTATAGAATCATGTTTCCACAAGGCGATGGACTCTACCTCAATTAGAAAAAAACTCTCCACATACCACCCAAGGAGAGAAGATAAATCACACAGAGCTTATGATTATAGCTTAGGCAAGACACAGAACCTATTCAATTTACATGTAAGAAAGAAATATAACCCTTAACCAGAGCATAATCAGGAATTCACCTTGGAGCAGATAGATATGGAGTAGGTATCATAACTACACATAGAAAACAGGAAATGTGAACCACCATTCAGTGAGGAAGGAATGGGCCCAATTGTGGTGAAGGATAGAGAGCAAAATACATTACCGCACTTTGTAAGGGAGGGCTTGAAAAATATAGGTTAGGGGCAGAGGCAGTAATCATGGGAAAACAGTTTCTGAGAGAGAAGAAAATATTTTGGGAGGAGAATATCTCTTGGGGGGATAGTATGGAAAAAAGAAAGAAGAAAGTGGCCAACATAAGAGCTCTACCTTAAATTAGTAGAAAGGAATCTCTTCAAATCTAGATCTCTTCTCCCACCCCTTAATGTCTCATTACTGATAAAAGAGTGAGTTGGAAGTCACTATAGCAACAGAAAAGGTGCTCCTGATTTAAGAAATATATTTGGCCGGTGCCAGTGGCTCATGCCTGTAATCCTAGTTACTACCAGCTCCAGGAAGGAAAATCCATTAGACTCTTATCTCCAATAAACTACCAGAAAACCAGAAGTGGCGTTGTTGCTCAAGTGGAAGAGCATTCGCCTTGAGCTGAAGAGATGAGGGACAGTGGCCTGGAGTTCAAGCCCCATGACCAACAACAACAACAACAATAAAAAGAAATATATTTAAGAAACTTGGTCTTGGGTGGGAAGGTGGCTCAGTGGTAGAGCGCTTGCCTTGCATGCCTGAGGCCCTGGGTTCGATTCCTCAGCACCACATAAGCAAAAAGAAAAAAAGCCAGAAGTGGCACCGTGGCTCAGGTGGTAGAGCGCTAGCCTTGAGCTGAAGAGCTGAGGGATAGTGCCCAGGCCCAGAGTTCAGGCCCCACGACCGGACCCCCCCCCCAAAAAAAGAAACTTGGTCTTGAACTTTACAACTTGGGTGCGGGGAGGAGGAGTTGGGGAGGTGGGGAGGAAAGGGATGGTAGGGGAAAAATAAAGGAGGAGGTAACAATGCTCGATAGGAAATGTACTCATTTACCTTACTCATGTAACTGTAACCCCTCAGTACAGTATTTTTACAATAAAAACATATATATATGTGTGTGTATATGCATATATATAAAAGAAATTTGGTCTACCAATTGGTGTCACTTGTTATTACTGATACAGAAAAATCTCAGCAAAAATAAACATGAACAGTATCTACAAAGTAATTTACCATTCAATTTTGAGGAAAACCTCAAAACTAAGTCTAAAATAATTTTAAAGAAAAAACAGCTTGGAAGCAGAGAAAAATGTACTAATATTCCAAACATAGATTAACTATAATTAAGCAAGCACTTGCAGATATCTATGAACTTTGCAAAACAAAAATTTTAAAACGGGGCTGGGAAGGTGGTTCAGTGGTAGAGCGCTTGCTTTGCATGCATGAGGCCCTGGGTTCGATTCCTCAGCACCACATAAGCAAAAACAAAAAAGCCAGAAGTGTCGCTATGGCTCAAGTGGTAGAGCGCTAGCCTTGAGCTGAAGAGTTGAGGGACAGCATCCAGGTGCAGAGTTCAGGCCCCACGACCGGACCACCCCCCCCAAAAAAAATTAAAACTTAGAATAAAAATGGAAAAACAGCAGGAAAATGTGAAATGGAAGTTGGTCAAAATCAAGAAAGAAATTGGACTAAAGGCATAGCTCAAGTGTCAGAGTGCCTGCCTAGCAAGTTCCAGGCTCTGAGTTTAATACCTGTTAGCACCAAAAAGTGGACAAGGTAGAAGAGGGTAGAGCAAAAGGGAGGAAGAGGAAGGAAGAGAGAAGGGAAGAAAAAATGATAGAGAAAACAAAACTATCTTAGAAAGAAAAAAAATTAGCAGTTGTCTTAAGAGGAAACAACTATGATCAAACTTATATCAAGAATAATAAGGAATATAAATAAAAAGAAAATGAAACATAAAGTAAAAACATAGATCAGAAAGAAAGTGATATAAAGGTGAAGAGGGTCTAAGATAACACTAACAGTGACCTCTGGAAGAGGAAAACATAATAAAATAGATATACTCATTAAAATTACAATTATGAAAAGTATTTTCCAACAGTGTTTCACACTGAAAAAATAGTGTCCTGTGTGTTCCTAGAAAAAAAAAACCTGATCTAGAATTCTTAACTGATACAGAGTCTGAGAAAACTGTTACACATTAAAGGAATCTTTTGATATTCTAGTTTACAATGAAAAGAAAATAAAGTTGGCCTCACACTTCTGAAGAATTTTTTTGTGTGTGCACCACTGCTGGGGCTTGAACTCAGGCAGGGTCTCTTACTCTTGGTTTGTTTTTTCCACTCAAGACTGGCACTCTACCACTTGAGTCACAGCTTCACTTCTAGCTTTTTGCTGCTTAACTGGAGATTAGAGTCTGACTGATTTTTCTGCATAGGCCACTTCAAACCTCAATTCTTAGATCTGAGCAAACCAAGTAGCTAGGATTATAAGCACAAGCACCAATGCCCAGCTTTTTTAGGTATTTTGTTAAATGTAAAAATCATTTTAGGGTAACTTACTAAGCAGACTAGAGGCTTATTTGCTCTTCTAGAAAAAATTTAAAGCATACAAAGAACAAAGGGAATAGTAGAATCAGAAGCTTCCCTACTACAAGCTATGCTCTAACCAAAGATGATGAACACATCTTCTGTAAAAGAAAATGGCAGTTCCATGTCAAATATATTTAGAGATCTGAGATCTGAGATCAAAACAAAGGTTAAGAGGATAGGATATAAGAACAGCACAGGAATGATGTATTTTTAAAGCAGAAATAACACAACTAGAAATAAATAAAAGGGAAGGAAAAGAGAGGGAAGGAAAATAACTAGTAGAGTTCTATTTTAGAGGGAACAAATCTAAAGGGAATAAATTTAAAAAGAACACATTTTTTAAAAATTTTAAACCTGGGAAAGAGCTGGGAAAGAGAGCTGGGAAATAGAGAGAGGTGAGAAAGAGTGGTGGAAGAGAGGTGGGAAAGAGCTGGAAAAGAAAGAGCTGGGAAAGAGAGGTGGGAAAGAGAAGAGAGAACTGGGAAAGAGATAGCTGGAAAAGAGAGAGCTGGGAAAGAGCAAAGAACACATTTTTTAAAAAGAAAAAATAAGGGTCAAGACTAATAGCATAATTTTATTATTATAAAAGTAAATATTAGAGCTGGGAAGGTGGCTCAGTGGTAGAGCGCTTGCCTTGCATGCATGAGGCCCTGGGTTCAATTCCTCAGCACCACATAAGCAGAAAAAAAAAGCCGGAAGTGGTGCTGTGGCTCAAGTGGTAGAGTGCTAGCCTTGAGCTGAAGAGCTGAGGGACAGTGCCCAGGCCCAGAGTTCAGGCCCCACGACTGGACTCCCCCCCCAAAAAAAGTAAATATTAGATAGAACAAAGCCTCAAACCTTCCTGAAAACTAGGACCAAGTAAAAAAACAAATTACATGGTATTAGACTCATACTACCTGTCACATTAAAAATGACAAATCTGAGGTCAAATGTACAAAGTCTATTAATAATGCACGTAGATATTACACATTTATTAAGTAAAAAGGCTTTTTGAAGGCTGACAGAGGAAAATCTAATTCTAGGCTGTACATAGGAGACATACTTAAAGTGATTAAGACAAGCTAAAAAAAAGAACATGAGGATTTTATCAAATAAATACAAATAACCATAGCTAAGATATGGAACCAACCCAGATGCCCCTCAGTAGATGAATGGATCAAGAAAATGTGGTATATATACACAATGGAATTCTATGCCTCCATCAGAAAGAATGACATTGCCCCATTTGTTAGGAAATGGAAAAACTTGGAAAAAATTATATTAAGTGAAGTAAGCCAGGCCCAAAGAAACGTAGGTCCCATGGTTTCCCTTATTTGTAATATCTAGTATATGTATGAGTCAAGCGGAAAAGGTCAGATAATGTGATGTCAGGAAAATGAACCCTTAGATGTGTATTTTAATGTTTTTTTCTTTCATGCATGTGTTTCTAACACATTTATAAGATTATCTCTTTGTTGCTTTGTATGTCCCTCCCCCACAGTATAACCCCTGCTTTCACTATATTTGATGTCAGTATAACTTGTGGAGGAGATGGGGAAAAACCAGTTGTTTAAGGATACAGGTGGACCTGTTGCAACAATGAGAAGTACAAGTTGTCATGTCCAAAACGAGCTTTACAACGTTGGTGTGTGTGTGGGGGGAGGGGGGGGGAGAGGAAGGAGAAGGATTGGGATTAGGGGGGGAGGGGGGAGGCTGGGAAGGGATCTGAAGGGTAAACAAAGGAGGAGGCTGCAATGCTTGGTAAGAAATGTACGCATTATCCTGCCCATGTAACTGTAACTCCTCTGTACAGTATGTTCACAAATAAAATTAAATTAAATTAAAAAAAAAAAAAGCAGAGTATGTTGATATATAAAAAGGAAAAATCCAGACTCCCCTCCTCCCAAACAAATTACATGAGTTATTCAACATAGATCTCTATTTGCTAAAATAAAAATTAACTTTTGGTGACTCACACCAAGAACTTACTGGTGTGCTTAACCATTTCAGTCTAAGGAACAGAATTCTGTGAGCTCTTAATCTTACAAATATCTTGGCAATGAACTATTCTCAAGGACTTTATAATCAAACATCCTTATGATATCTTGATATAGCTTTTAATTATATAATAAACTGCTACAAATTCTGCCACTTAGATCCTTTATCATAAGGAATTCAGGGAATACATTCCTGTCTACATTCTAGGCTGCATAAAAGACATTGTTTTGAGTATTTCATTGGTATTATTAATTCAAAATTATAATTTTTGTATATTTGCTTACAGTTGTGTGAAACTAAGACAAGATTTTTGTTAAAAAAATTATTTACAGGCTGGTGTGTTGGCTCATGCTTGTTAATCCCAGCTGCATGGAAGGCAGAGATCAGGCAGATCACAGTTGGAGACTACCCTGAGCAAACAGCTAGTGAAACATCTAGTGGTGGCACACATCTGTGACCCCAGCTACTGGGAGACATTATTTTAGGGGCTCTTATTTTCTGGGTTTCAATCCAATAGATTCTTCAGTGGTTAAAGGAGTAAATGGTATGTGATAAATCTTCACATGCCATTTTTATCTCCTGAAATAGTTGGATTTCTTGCTCTCCTTTTTACCAAGAGGTTTGTGGCATTTTAAATTTAGTTAGCAGAAGTCTTATATATTGCTGGTTCTTATTAATTGAACAAACTGTTTCACCTATCACAGCTGCTTAAGCTAGTACACTAAATCGAGAATCTTCAACATGTATATCTATTATCATTGCTGGTCTGAATTTATTCCCAATAATATTTCTGTAAATTTCCACTAGCATAAAACATAGCAAAGTGTTTCAGTTCTGTTGTAATAAATATTTTTCTCCATTTTGGGACTTTGTTGCCCACATCTCACTTTTGGGGGGAGGAGGGTTGATACTAGGGTTTGTACTTGCTAGGCAAACACTCTACTACTTGAGCTTCATCTCCAGCCAGTTTTGCTTTTATTCAATTTTATTTTTAAGATAGGGTCTTAACTTTTGCCCAGGACTGACTCCAGACCACAATCCTCCTTCTATCTACCTGATGTTACAGATTTGTACCACCATGCCCAATTGTTTTTTTGTAATAGGGTTTCATTAACTTTTGGCTGAGCTGTACTCAAAACTTCAATCCTATCAAGTAGATGGACTTACAGGACTGTACTACAATGACTGATTAAAAGCAACCTGAATCTGTTCTGTGTAGGTTTAAGTAAGATGGAATGAAGGAAATTAGAAGCAACAGAAATATTAAAAGCCCAGGTTTTAGGCATGGTTTCTTGAAATGACTTTTCTTCTTATATAGTTGTTATCTTGGAGGCCCATCAACAGACTGACTTGCTGACTTCATTTGGAAGCCTTATACTATTTGATAGCAAGAAGTACTATAAAGTCCGAGTAATGAAAATGTACTGGATTAAGGACATAAAATGGTCACTGAAGGGGAAAGCAGGCCAAAAACTGCCCAAGACAGTTGATTTTTGAATAATTCATCAAAAAAAATAGTCTTTATAGTGTGGGTACAATGGATATTTGAGAACAAAAATGAGCACCACCCTGAACTTTACTCTGAGATGTGATGGTTCTCTTCAAACTGCTTCTATTTTCACAAAGAGAAATTACCACTGAGATTCTATGAGGAAGGTTTTGGTCTGAGGAGAAAATATGACAGAATTGTCTAAAAGAGATGTAATAGCTCCAGGAAAATGTAGTGTAATACTTCTGGGCAAAGGTGGACACTCATTTGAAGTTAGTTATCTGTTAACTAGTGCTGGAGTTTTGACAAATAAGTGTAAAAAATTTAGGTTAATGTTCTTTATCTTAGTCTCCTTGTCTGATGGTAAAGGTATCTTATCAAAGAGTTATTGAATTGAACAACAATACATATAAGACAATGTAGTGCTCAGGTCAATAAATGTTCTATCGTTGTTATGCTGTTACTGGTATATTATTTTGCAGTACTAAAGGTTGGAAACAGGGCCTCCTACCCAACCAATAAATATTAATATATTTAATATATTAAGCATTACAATATATTTATCATTGTAATAATACTATTAAATATTATTAAATAATAATAATGAGAAATTGTAATGGTTAAGAGCATGAGCTATGAAGCTAGTCTAGACTGCTTAAGGTCTAATCCTAGGTTTAATACTTCCTATCTAACTTGTTCATTGTTGGCTATTCTTAAAACTAGTATTGTTAGTATCTTAAGGATGTCTTAAATTCTTCTCACAAGTATTTGCAAAATTCTCTCTCCACAAGTTCTTGAGAATAAACAGGTAGTTTGAATAATAGTCATTAACTCTTTTAACTACTGTTATTCAAATTAGATAACATGTCCAAGATCACACCATTAGTAACTAGTGACTGACAACAAACAATTCAAGCACTAGTATACTACTTCCTCTCAACAAACTAGAGAAATATGTCCTAAAGACTTGGGTTAAGTGGCAGAATTAATGTGTTAAATTAAAAATTAGCTGCTACAGCTTCCAGTTAAGAATAGTACACCTCTAAAAATAGTAGCAGCGGGCTGAGAAGGTAGCTCAGTGGTAGAGTGCTTGCCTTGCATGCCTGAGGCCCTGGGTTCGATTCCTCAGCACCACATAAGCAAAAAGAAAAAAAGCCAGAAGTGGCGCTGTGGCTCAAGTGGTAGAACGCTAGCCTTGAGCTGAAGAGCTGAGGGACAGCACCCAGGCCCAGAGTTCAGGCCCCACGACCGGACCCAAAAAAAGAAAAAAGAAAAATAGTAGCAGCATTTGAACATATAATCCCTATAGTTAGTATAGATAACATTTTCCTCACTTTCATTTTGGCATATTGTTTGTTCAGTCACAAAAGCAAAACAAAAATCAGACACTATTGAGATAATATTGTTATTAGAACAACATGCTTTTGGTATCATAACTAGAAAACTTCAATTTCTGCAAAAGTATTATGTCTCAACAGTGCACTTAAAATTTTTAATATCATACCTGATTGATCTGTTGTCTATCGATAGTTATATCATCTTCGTTTTTCCAAAGTAACTGACTTTAAAGAAAATGACAGATTAAAAAGTCACAATAAAACCTGATTTTAATATTAGCTTTTATATTCATTTGTGAACACTTTAGATCTTTTGATGTTCTACAAACACAAGTATAACATTAAAAATGTTTAAAGTCAGCCTAAAAACCCAGTGGGGTATCAGATACCTGTACTACTCAGGAAGCTGAGGCAGGAGGATCACTTGAGACAAGAATTAAGGATGAGTTTAAGTAACATAATGACCCTGACTCTTAAAAAAATCAGCCTGAGGCCATTATCACATTTCCTTTTAAGTTCATTAGTGATCAGTAGGAATCACAATTATTATGAGTAATAAAATCATATTACAATTAATTCCAATTATAGTTTACTATTTGTGACAAATATAAATGATTAAAAATTTATAATTTCCCTTAATTTTATTTTTTGTGGCATTGGGGTTAGATTGCTTGGTACATGCTCTACGATTTGAATCATTACTTTTCAGGTAGGTTCTCACATTTTTGAAGGTTTGAGACTATGGTCCTCCTATTGATGTCTCCCAGTAGCTGGGATCACAGATGTGTGCCACCATTAGCTGTTTCACTAGCTGTTTGCTCAGGGTAGTCTCCAACTGTGATCTGCCTGATCTCTGCCTTCCATGTAGCTGGGATTAACAAGCATGAGCCAACACACCCAGTCTATAAATAATTTTTTAAATAAAAATCTTGTCTTAATTTCCAACAATTGTAAGCAAATATACAAATATTATCATTTTGAATTAATGATACCAACGAAATATTAAAACATATTGATTAATCTATAGCCAAAAATTAAAGAGGTATATGAATTAGTTCTAACAAGAACCTTTCGCTGTCATCAAATATCCTTGATGAAAAAAGATCAACAGAAAATATTTAAGTAATAAACTATCCCTTATTATATTAGAAAAATGTTAGTATAATCAAGGTAATTTTAATTAAAGGTATCACTAATACCACTCATGCTCTTGTTCTAATTAGAAATCTTTCTAGGACTAGACTAGATGGTATGCTAGTGTAACTGCAGGGGAGACACAAATATCTCAGTTGGAGACCAGTCAGGACAAATGGGTGAAATCTTACCTGAAAAACAAACTGGCATGGCTTAAGTGGTAGAGTGCTTGCTTACCCAAGTGCAAGACTCTAAGTTTAACTCTTCTCCCTGGGAATGTCTTTCTAATATACTCTGGATATCACATTTTACTTATGGTCTAAATGATGTTATATAAAAACAGCATCTATGTTAATCACCTTTGTTCGTTGCTACAGTAATCACTTGACTCTTCCAAAGAGCCTGGTATTTCAAAATTTCCAATGTGATTTTTTGCAGTCTGATTTTCTTTTACAGTGACTTTTTCCTCAGCTGAGACTGATGTTCATGAACAGCACACAAAATTCAGAATGTTAAGAAAATATCAAAATAAAATTTATTTTTATTCTTATACATTATAATCTTGTCCTATGTGTCAGAATCCTCATGACATTTACTATATAGATATAAAGCAACAATTTCCAAAGTAGATTTTATGAGATATTAGTTTATATGAACAGAAAATTCTTAGGTGAGTTTAGTTTGGGAAACACTGAATTAAGCCATACTAAGAGAGATCACAACCACACACACACACACACACACACACACACACACACACACCACCACCACCACTACCATCACCACACACTTATAGGATTTTTTTTGTTTATGTGCAAAATAAATCTATTTTATGTAGATTTATGTAGGCCTACATTGGGAAACTGTCTTCAGAGATGTTTTTCTAACAGCATCTTCTGAAACACAGCTGTCTAAGGAAATGTAAACAATGTAAATTATCCTTTGTTATTTCACATACATTTTCATTTATAAAATCTCCTTTCATTTTAGCAGTATTTTTCATATAGGAAAACTTTACATCATTAAAACACCAAACTAATGCTCCACATGATCAATACATTTTAAAAGATCCGTAATGTTAATGTAGATTTCCCCTGTAGGAATCATTCAGAAAAAAACTGAGTCAAGTTAACATTTGGAAAGTAATTCTATAAAGATCATCAAAATATATTACAACTTAAAATCCATATTGACCTAATTTTAGTTTGACTGCTATATTTATTTCTCTTTTTACATTGGCAAATAATCCATTCAATGCAAAATGAACAAAACTGGATATACCAGCTGTTTAAAACAAACACTAAAATATTACTTTCCCTACCCAACTCCAACCAGAAACAATGCAAAACTTAGCAGATTTTTAGGTATATTTTGACATTTATATGTCATTCCTAGTTTAAAAAATGTTCTTTGCAGTACTGAGGATTGAACCTTGGGATTTCATGCTTGCTAGGAAAGTGCTTTACCAGTTGGGCTATGCCTTCAGCACTCCTTTATGCTTTAAATAATTACCATGAATGCAAAGGAGAGAAATTCATATAAAAACTTAAAAGAATCTCACTGACCATTTCACTAGTGCCAATTATAGACAAAGTACTAATGTGCTTAAGATTAAAGAAAGTATAAGGTATGGGACATGATCAGGTAAAGCATACATTTAAGTGAAAAGGAATACAATTAGATAGGAACTAATACATTTAGTAATTGTAATAGAAGTTATTTTGTGGGAATTTGTTTCATTTATATATATGTAGTATACCTGATTTTCCCTCACAATTTATGTACTAAGCTATAAATGTTCAATTGATTGTTTTCTATTAATACTTATAGTCTGCTTTGTTTATATTTTATAAGTTTACTTTTAATAGAAGCATTTTAGCTACTAGACACTTTTTTTTCTTGGGGCTTGAACTCAAGGCCTAGGCACTATCCCGGAGGTTTTCTGCTCAAGATTAGCACTCTACAACTTGAGCCACAGTTCCACTTTTTATTTATTTATGTACTTATTTATTTATTTATATTGGAGATAGTTTTGAAGACTTTCCTGTCTGGGCTGGCTTTGAACCATGATCCTCAAATCTCCACTTTCTAAGTTGCTACGATTTCAGGCATGAGCTACTAGCACCCAACTACTTGCCACTTTTTAACATTTAAATGATTAGTAAATTCATAGGTGCAATCAAATTAAAATTCTCTAATTCTTCAAAACATATACTTTCTCAAAATGAAATTTTGCTGTGGCTTGATACTTTTTTTGAATCCAATTTTTTTGGTACTTGAATAGCAAGCACTATAGTTTTATGGGGTACTTCATTTCTCTTTTATTCTTTTATTTGAAATTATCTTCCCATAAAAAGTGGTAGATTTAAGTGCTGTGACTTTTATTTTATTTTCATTTTAACATAGTTCTCTAGTTATGTTTTTTTTCTCTTTCACATGGCAATTTGTTTGAAATTTCCTAGTTGTAAAACCTAAATTGTAGCTTTTATCTTGCTGAAAACTGTAAAGCTAGGTTTGCCCACAGAATTTGCTCATTGATTGACTGCTAAAACATCATTGTCTTTACAATTTTAATTGAAATCACCTTCTTCTGGATAATCGTTAAGGTCTTTTAAAGTGTTTACGAAGAAATTGGGATCTCTTCCAGGTTCATCCATTGACAAAATTACATTAACTGGTTGGTGGATTGTTTCATCAACCTCAGCAATATCATTATTAATCTGTTGCTCCTCTAAAGTAACTGTTGATGGCTCTGAATAAACATTTCCTAAGTGGTCCATTACAGGAAGCAAATATAGTTCTGGTTGAAGAGCCTAAAACACACCAGAAATTACAAGAAAACAATTACAACAATTAAAAACTAGAGTAAAACTTAAAATCAGCATAAATTTAATATGTCATACGTATGGAGAAGCAAATGATTTCAGTTTCAGTTCTGATTCTTGCTTTTCTGTCACCTAGAAATAAATAAGAAAAATTAAAGTTTTTTAACATTTACTACTCATTTTTACTTTGTTTTTTCTCTAGAGAAGGCACATCCATCCATCTATCTATCTATCTATCTATCTATCTATCTATCTATCATCTATCCTATGTCACACATCAAATTAAAAGCTAGAACCATGGCTAGATTCTACAGAGTGCTGAATATAATCTTATATCCTATCTACTGTAGCAAACATAGAAATTCTATTTTATGATCATTGCTTTTAAGAAAGTTACCATGTGTTTGGCACTATTCTATATATATTACATATATTAGCTGAGTTAATTCTTACAATTTCTTGTGATAGGCACTAATATTATCTATTGTTTATAGGTGAAGACAAGCAGCAAAGAAAAGTTAAATAACTTGTCCAAGATGCTATACTAGGGATTTCCCAAATGGTGACTCAGAAGCAAAGAATCTGGCTGATCTAACTCCAGAGACCATTTGTGTGCTTTATGTCCTATTTATCAATCCTTAAGAGTTAATTTATTATTTATAATTTTTTAATTTAAATTTTGTTTCCTTTTGTATTTGAGCTAGGGCTCCCTAACTTTCCCTGGCCTATAATAACAGTGCAAGTGACCCTCCCAAGGGCAGGTAAATGGACAAAGACAAAAAGAAAAGAAAACAACAAACTGTCTTGTTTCCAAGAGAGTTCATTTCATTAGAAATATAATATGACAGAACACAGAGACTCGGAGATATAGTGGCTTGTTAGATTGGAAATTTCCACTAAGAATATTCTCAACTTAAGCAAGTTCTATAGAAAACTACAAATAAATAAAGCCAGCTGTTGCCCAAGCAAATAAGACCATTTTCTCTAGAACACAAGGATTCATATAAAGTATTTTTAAAAACTACTCTTTCAAGTTAAAAATTCTAGGGTGAAGAGTTGTGGTACATTTCCGTATTCACAGCTACTCAGGAGATTAGTATAATCACAGCTCAAGGCCAGTTGGGCAAAATAATTATACTCCATCTCAACCAATAAGTCAGCATTTGTAATGCTAGCTATGCAGGTGGCAAAGGTAGGAAAACTGTTGTATGTATGTATACAAAAATATGAAACTCTATCTGGAAAAATAGCTAAAGCAAAAAGGGCTGAAAGTATGAATCAAATAGTACAGCACCTGCCTAGGAGGCACAAATTTTCCAGTAGTGCTTAAACATTAATTTAAAATACATTTCCTATAGAATCACATTAAAAAGAATCATATTTTAAATGTTTCCTTTTATTCTCAATCCCATCATTTCAATGCCTAATAATATATGAATGAACTTCATCTTTTATAATGTATATGTTTAGTGATATTTGCATTCCATTATGATTTCACATCTCATGTGTTAAGGAACTGAGTTAATAAGCATTTAAGAGACACAATTTGATAAGGCATGCTTTCCTTTAAGTAGAAGGAAAACTTACCACAGCTAAATTGTTTCCAATGCATTTCAGAAATAAAAATTTTTCTGCAACAGCATCTTCACCAAGAAAATCACCAAGGTGCTCCCTCAAGGCTTGTAAGGTAAGTTGAGGAGATACTCTGAAATATCATGAAATGCACTCAATATAAAAGTAAATCGATTTTCATGTATTAATTATTCAATAATTTTAGTTGGCTATCACAAAAACAATGATTGAATGTGTCAGATGTATCTTAATGTAATATGTTTATACAGAACTTGACATCTAGATCTGCAGTAACTACTTTTCAAATAAGTGATTTAAAAGTCTACTCAGATGACACAAATAAGCTAGAGGCATGGCTCAAGTGACAGAGCACTTGCCCAGCAAGCTGAAGGCTTTATATTCAAACTCCAGTTCCACAAAAATTATACAAATGCATACTGCTTATGAAAGACCTTTTATACTGAAAAGGAAAATGATTTCTTTGCTAAATTACCTCCAAGTTTTTCAATTAGAACAAAATTTTGTCATGGAATTTATATGCTGTTCATAGCATATGAGTACTGCTTTGTTATAGCAGTATTCAATAATGAGTTAGCCCTCCCTGAATTACAGAAGTGTATATACAAGATGCAGGGCACCGACATCAAATACATTGAAAGCAGGGGTTATACTGTGGGGGAGGAACATACAAAGAAACAAAAAAATTACAGGGTACATTATGAATATGTTAGAAACCATAGCAAGAAAGAAAAAAAATATTTGTGTCCCTATCTTGGGGTTCATTTCGCTTAACATCATCTTAAATGGTCATATGTACATAGCTTTTAACCTGCTCTCTTGTCGTACACATGTACTAGTTATTGCAAATAAGAGAAACCAGTAACCCCTCTGTACAGTATTTTTACAATAAAAAACATACAAAAATAATGAGTTAGCCATAGACATTTATTATGGTTGTTTAGCAGAAGCTAGTCCTAAGAATATCTTTAATGATCAAATGCTGCAAAGCATCCTTTTGCTCACTAGGAACATTCCTCAGTGTCTGAAAGGTAGAGCCATCATTTCTGATTTTTTTTTTCCTAGGCTCTTGTTTGTCTAGGATCTTCTGGAATATATGAGAGAATTTGTTCATTGAACCAATGTTGAAACAACAAACATTTATCAAGCATCTATCATGCATTAAACCTTATTCCAAGGGATGGTAATACAGAAATCAATCAAATAGTCAAAAATATGCTTACAAATATATTTTAACTCAATATACAAGTCTTTAAAAGACATTTCTCCTTTTCTTCGTTGCTCTCTGATCTCTTCCATTCCCTCTCCCACTACCTCTCACGTGAAAGAACAGATGCAGGCAGGGCTACCGTGTTCCTCTCTTTACCTTGCTGATGACAGTAGTGAAAGACAATTGGCACAGCAAGGAATACAAATCTGAAGATCAACACCAGCACATGGGAAGGCTATTATCTGGCCCAAAGCCATGCCCCAGTACATGTATCAGGAAGCCCAGGCTCCTAGGCCTTTTTTTTTTTTTAAACCATCTTCTCCTTTTAGGACTATACCTCATTCTGAGATTATAGCTCAAGCAGTCCTCATTTTGGCATGGCAAAATTAATAAACCTTCATTTGTTTTCTCCAAAACCCTGACCTCATTATTTATGGATTGATATTAAGTTCAGTGGATTGAATTTCTAGTAAAAGAAATAACAGATGGTTGACTATTTGAAGTTCTGTGTGTTTCTGTGAATATCAAAATACATGCATATGAATAAATACAAACAACACACATATGTATATGTTTTAGTTCTCAAACAAGTTTTTAATAACAAATTTTTCTCTAAATTCCTTTTTTTTTTCCAGTTGGAGCCTCACTATGTGGCTGAGGCTGGCCTCAAACTCATGATCTTCCTGCCTCTCAGTTTCCCTAGTGCTGGGAGTGCACCACTATGCCCAGCTAACTTCTCTACAATCCTTTAGTGTATAAAATTAGTAATATACAGTTAAGCTATACACTATTTTCTAGGTGATGGTATTATAACTAAGTGACAACTGTTCCTACCACAATGTTTGGCTTAACTGTTACATAATGCTATTTACTTCTAGTATGTATTAAATTAAGTATGGATCTATCACATGGAAAAACATTTTTCACTTATACTTTTAATAATTTTTGAAAATTTTTATTTATAATTGCCAGATAACATACTTCTTTTCAGAAAAAAAAAACATTAGGTATCTTATTACATGGCCACAAAATATTTACCTTATAAATCCAGCAGAAACAAATTCATTAATAACCTCCAGTGAAACAGTATTTAAGTTATAGTTCCATGATCCTTCAGGGACATAAAAAACATGAAGTTCCACCAACTAAATGAAAAGAACATTAGTTAAAATATTTCTACAATGAAATAAAATGTCCAATAGAAATTTAAATTTACTAAACACAATTGAACTAAATAGGAATCATATGCCTCCCCTTAAACAAACAAAAAAAGAAAATGAAGTCCTCCAAATCTGTTGTTAGTTTTGGGCACTTGGGTACAGTTCTCTTGGAAATCATGACATAGATAAAGTGTGGATCCTACATCATCCCACACCTTTGACAAGTGGTGTTCTTTCTGTAGCCTCTAGTAGAAATACTACACGGAAAAGGCCAGTTTTCTTCTTACCAACCTTCTTCCCCCTCCCCCTCAACATTCTTAATTCCATTTGCATGGTCTTGTGGAATCCTACTCTTTGTATAGTGTCTCTCCACTAGAGTTGTGAGTGATGCAGGCTCCCAGAAATTGCAAAACTGTTTGGGAAGACTGTTTGTGCCCCAGAATTTCAGGAAGCACTTATTGTTGTTAATAGGGCACATCTGCTAGCATATATTGTCTTGTTGTTTTTTGTTTTTTTTTAAAAAAAACACCTACTTTTATTTAATGTTTTGTAATAACTGTATACTCCTATTTATTTAGGTGGTCATGACAGAAATAATTATGGCAAATCAAACCTCATCTTTTAGTTAGTTGGAGGAAGACTGATATTCACTGTCCTTAAAACTAGAAAGAATTAAATGATTATACTGTACGTGAAACATTAAGTATCTGAGAAAACTTAAGAAGATTCAATAGGACCCACTATTATTAGAATTAGTAATTTTATGAGATGAGGCTGGTTCTTGAACTGCTAGTTTTGCTTGTTTTATGCCAAGTAAATTACTTTGATGATAAAATATTAACCAGTAAATTGAATACTTGTCATATGCTACATTTTGAATAACAGAACACTTAAAAGATTCGTTCTTTACTATTAAGTAAATCATATTAACAAATTTGAGGGTTGAGGCATGTCTCAAATAGTAAAGGGTCTATTTTAAACCAAAGTACCTCCAAAAGGAAGAAAGAAAAAGAAATGTGCCTTTATGTAAGTGTATTAGTACATTACTTAGGGAAAAAGTTCTTTTTTTGGGGGGGGGGGGTCCGGTCGTGGGGCCTGAACTCTGGGCCTGGGTGCTGTCCCTCAGCTCTTCAGCTCAAGGCTAGCGCTCTACCACTTGAGCCACAGCGCCACTTCTGGCTTTTTTCTTTTTGCTTATGTGGTACTGAGGAATTGAACCCAGGGCCTCGAGCATGCAAGGCAAGCGCTCTACCACTGAGCCACCTTCCCAGCCCCAGGGAAATATTTCTTGAACTAAACATTGTACACATGTTTCTGAAAGTTTGTGTTTTCAATGTTTCATTTCAAAGTAGTAAGATAGTAAGAAAATACTGAAAATTTTAGTTTCAAATTTAAGGTTGAATATTCTACTAAATAAATTTGAAACTAAAATTTTCTATTCTATTAAATATTCAACCTCTAATTTAATCTTATATTCTTGACTTTAATGGAAGAAAAACTCATGAATAATATTTCTGCCAAAACAATGTACAATATATTAAAAGGTAATGAAAAAAGTCATGAGTAATATTTTCATTAACACTACATATACTATATTAAACATAAATGCACATACACAGATACACACACATTTTTCTTTTAGGTGTCAAAATGGCTAAACAAGGCACTGTTGAATTGTTTCTACTTAAAATATTGATATTATTATGGATTTTCTGTCATATATGTATTCATAAAAGTGTTACATAAAATATTTTCTTGATTATTTGCTGAATTTTTGATGCCCACTTTAATTTTACACCAACAGTAAGCACCTTAATTTGCCTCAGACTATTGCTGACTTCATGAGGGTTATAGACAAAAACCAGTAAGTATAAAAAACACTAACAAGTTAGATAGCATATTAGAAAGTGGTGAACATGGTAATCACTTGAAAAAAGATTACAAACAGAGTAAGAAGTTGAGCATAAGTAGCTCACACCTCTAATTCTAGCTACACAGGAGGCTGAGATTTGAGGATCACAATTCAAAGCCGATCTGGGGCAGGAAAGTCAATTAAGACTCTTTAACCACAAAAAAGCTGTAAATAAAGCTGTGGCTCAAGTGTTACAGCACTAGCCTTGAGCTGAAAAGCTCAGAGATAGGACCCAGGCCATAAGTTCAAACCCCAGGACTAGTAGCTTCCTTAAAAAAAAAAAAAAGTAAGAAAAATTGAGATGATACAGGATGGAGGAGGGATGTAGAAGTTTTCAATTTTAAATTGAATAATTGTGTTGGTTTCAGAAAAGAGGTAAAATCTGAGTAAAGACTTAAAAGATTAAAGTAAGCTAAGTGAGGACTAGAGAGAAAGAGTCCGTGAAAGGCTAAAGAACAGCCTTATGTGGATACATGCCAGTATGACCAGCAGAACAAGTTAGGGAGAGAATAGTAGGAGATAAAGCCAGGAAAAAGGAGAAAAAGGGAGCACAAATTAGGTAGGGCCTCCAAGTCATAATAAAGTTTTCATCTTGTATGACTGGAAGCAAGTGCAGGGTTTTAATAAAAGTATGACAAAAATCTTACATTTCTGTTTCATATGGAAAATTCTCTTTCTATATATCTTTATATTTATGTATACAAATAAAAATACTATGAATGCCCAAATATTTACAGTTTAAATTCAGAAGTTGACAATTTGTCATGTTTACTTTCTCTTTCTTGGTGGAACATTCAAATACTTTGACATGCATCTTCTAAAAAAAAGGATTTTTCTAACATCATTACAATTTTTAAATGTTTTTATTAGTATATATCATACAAGAGGGGAGTTCATTGGGACATTTCCATGAATGTATATAATGTAATCCAATCAATCTCCCCTTTTTATTCTCTTATCTGCTCTTCCTTCCTAAAACTATCTCAACAGGTTTGTTTTATTTTCATATACTGATCATCTATTTAAATGATAATTCATCCTTTTTCACCCTCTTGCTAGTATCCATGCCCGCAACAAAACCTGTCACATTCCTTCTCTCCCATCTTCCCAATGATCAATAGCTTTAATTGAGGGTCTTTATGCAGTTTTTCATATATGGTTGTGTATATCTCACAATTATTTGTCTTCTATCTTCCTGTTTCCTTTTGCCTTCCCTTTCCTGAGTCCCTTAGTTAGACTTGTGTTCTATGCACATAGATATACATAATAATGTACATAGATATATGTATGCATACACGAATATGTTTATATAGCTTTCACATATGTACATGTGAACCAAAATATCTCTTGTAAGAAAAGACTATAAAAAGCAGAAAAGAAAAACTTCTATGAAGCTTTGGAATAACTGAAGTATGAGATAATGATTCAGACCAGTGGACTATAGTAGATATGATATGAAGTAGTCATTATTTTGTATGCTAAAACTACAGTCAATGTATTGGAAGTGAAGTTTATAAGAAGACTCAAGTATACAAAAAATAATCCAAGTATGAGCCAGGTGTTGGTGGTTCATGCCTATAATCCTAGTTATTCAGGAGGATGAGACCCGAGGATCAAGGTTTGAAATCAGCCTAGGCAGAAAGTCTGTAAGAGTCTTATCTCCGATTAAGCACCACGAAAGTTGGAAGTGGAGCTGTGGTTCAAGTGGTACAGCAGTAGCCTTGAACAAAGGTTCTCAGGGACAGCGACCAGGCCCTAAGGACCAGCATACTCACAAAAAATAAAATCAAGCTTGACTCTAAAGCATCTGACCTTTAAGATAGATTTATCATTGTCTGAAACTGGAAAAATCACAGCCACAGCTTTTCTGGAAAAGGGGAAAAACCCAATTTCATATTAAGTTTGAGAAGTTTATTGATCATCTAAATGGAGATGTCAAATATCAGTTGACAAAATATAGATATAAATGTATATATGTAGATATATACGTATATAGATATATACATATGAATCTGGAGTTTGGAAAAAAGGACTGAGATTGGAATAAAAGTGTGGAAATACCATAAAGTTGGTATTTAGATCTATTAGACTGGATCTATTAGAAGATCCCTGAGGAATGAGTAAAGAGAGAAAAAAAGCTGAATCCTGAGATAATACAATATAAAGTGATCAGGAAGATGAGGGCTGGGAAGGTGGCTCAGTGGTAGAGTGCTTGTCTTGCGTGCATGAGGGCCTGGGTTCAATTCCTCAGCACCTGCTTATGCAGAAGAAGCCAGAAGTGGTGTTGTGGCCCAAGTGGTAGAGCGCTTGCCTTATGAGGAACAGCACCCAGACACAGAGTTCAGGCCCCACAACCAATAAAAGAGAGGGAGGGGAAATTAGGAAGATAACAATTCAGCAAAAAAAGACTGAGAGTGGATGTACAAAGAAATCCAAGTCAATTTGCAAAGTGAAAGAATTATATCAAGAAAAAAAGTTGACTGTATCAACTGTGGTGAACAGATATCTCAAGTATAGTTAGGGAAAGAATTAACTAACAGAGTAATGAAGAGGTGAGTTTAAGAACAGCAGTTTTATGAAATATGAAAGCTTGATTGGAACTAGTTTAAGACAGAATTGGGAAAAGATATTTGGAGTGTGACAAGGTATAAAATATTTGTGTTGGAAAGGGGAAGAATATGCAAAGGTGACAATTAATATGACTGCCTAACAAAGATTTTGCTTGAGAATAATGATGAATTTAAAGAAAGTCCTTATGCTGATGTCTTTTTCTCCAGCCACATTCAGCTGCTCAGGAGAGCAGAAGAGGAGGAAGAATGAATTAACCAAGGTTGCTGTTTTAAAGAGGGGTACAATGAAGCAATGAGAATAAGAGCAAAGGAATATTGATTTAACCTAAGTCAAGAGGGAAAAGTCAGTTGATAGTTTTTTTTTTTTTAAGTGACAAGATCAGTTTACTGGCAGTCTCAATATAGTAGCAAAGAAAGAGTGCTAGAGATACAAGGAGTCAGGTGATAGGATAGAGAAGGTGAAGAGAATGATGGGACCAACATCTAACACTATACACACAGTGTTATATTAAACCACTTTATTAAAACTTTTCAAAACTAGTAAAATATTTTTTTCTTACCTCTGATGAGGAAGGTCGACTTGGATTGAGTAACATTGTCTCCAGTGTCTGAATGGAATAATTACCAATTGAAATTTTGGTTGTTTTTTTCTCTCTCTTCATTTAAGTGGTATTAAACAAATGTAATAGATTTTTTTTTTTTACTTAAGATAGCATTCTCCTTATTTTTGACCTGTAATTTGTTCAAGAAAAGAAACATATAAAATTTTTAAAAAGACTCAGAACAAAAACTTCGGAATGTATAGAATCTTACAATAATGAAATAAAAGAATTAACTCGGGTGAGGAGGCTGGTGATTGAAATAAAATGAACATAAATCCTAAACAAGTAATCCTCAACTTATGATAAGTGTAAAAGCAAAACCAGACTTCACTTTCACTTTTCCAGGACTATAAATATGTGATTTAATAATCCTTGTAATGCTGGGGAACAATAGTGGCCATAACACTCAGTTATAAGAGTATATAGCTGATATTCTAGTGGACTGTGCTGTTATAAGCTACACTATTCAGTAAGCTACATCACCAGCCTGTGGGAAGGGACCACCCACATTAAGAGCTCCCATGCCCCCCTTAAAGTTCCCTGGAGACATTCTCACAGATATATCCATAGGTGTGCCTAATCTAATTTCCTAGGTGCTTCTCAATCCAATTAAGTTGATGCTAAAAAATCAACTACCACAGATTCCAAGGCCACATTTGCTTATCATAATGAACTATGGGTTTGTGAAGATGTTTGAGGGTCAGTAGCAAAGCTAACTATCAATTTAAGAATATTTTGAGCTAAGCACCAACGGCTCATGCTTGTATTCCAACTATTCAGAAAGCTGAGATCTGAGCTTTGTGATTCAAAGCCAGTCTTGTAGGAAAGTCTGTGAGACTCATCTCCAATTAACCATCAAAAAGCCAAAGTAGAGATGTGGCTCATGTGGCACTAGCCTGAGGAAACAAGCTGAAGGACATCACCCAGGCCCTGAGTTCAAGCCCTAGTACCAGCAACCAAAAGGAAAAAGAATATTTGATATTCTGTTTTTTCCTAGAAATAAAAATTCTGTTAATTTTGTTCCTGCCTTATTTGATAATAGAGCATACAAAGAGATGGTTAATGAACTTTTGAAATCCCAAATAATTATTTCAACTGGGAACCTGACATTGTATTTAAGCCTACAAATATAGCAGAATCTCATATATATTAATCATATGGTTTGGGAACCAGAAAAGCAGATTTCTAGTCCTATGTACCCTAAAAAGTCACTGATTCAATTGCTTTGTCAAGAAAACCACCTTGATGTTTTACAGCTCTATAATTTTTGATTGCTTGATTGGCCAGGGAATGGAAAAGTAGTGATAAGGATAGTCTTTATTTATTTATTTATTATAGAAAAAAAGAAATTAGAATACAGTCGACTTGATACCAGATGATAGGAGTAGATCTTGACATAATCCTGATTTTTTAACTGTATTTTTTTTTGTTTTTGGAACTAGGGATCGAACCCAGACAGTTGTATTTGCTTGTGAAGCACTTTGCTACTGAGCTACATCCTAGCTCATAATCCTGATTCTTAAATCATCAAAGGGGTCTGATCCCATAAATGGTTACTTATGCCTTGAAAGATTTGTTTTGTCAAGTTCATGGTTAACCTATGAGTAAAGTTCTAATTCATGAAAAGGGTGGTTTTAGGTGAACTGCCTTAAATGCCTGCAGGCACTGCAGAGCCTGCATATATTTGGGTCTTAAGACTTGTAGACCAATTGAAGAAATAAGCCTATTTTTCATATAAATACCAGTGTGAACAAAAATGGCATATTTGTCTTGAAACAAGTCTCATTGTAGACAAAAATGGCATGGTGGACTTATGATTTTCTCAGGAATTTTAGATAAAAGGGGGTCTCATAGAGAATAACACAAAGGTGCTGGGAAGGTGGCTCAGTGGTAGAGTACTTGCCTTGCATTCATGAGGCCCTGGGTTCGATTCCTCAGCACCACATAAGCAAAAAGAAAAAAGCTGGAAGTGGCGCTGTGGCTCAAGTGGTAGAGCGCTAGCCTTGAGCTGAAGAGCTGAGGGGCAGTGCCCAGGCCCAGAGTTCAGGCCCCAGAGGAAGAAAAAGAAAGAAAGAGAATAACACAAAGGTATAAAATTAGAATTTATGTTAGAAAGGAACTAGAATTTTTTGGTATATGCCATCAAGACCTTTTGACTAAGAATGTTTTTCATAATTCTAAAATATTAAGAGAATATTTTCAGCAAATTTCTGTTCACCTAAGTACAAAAAATTATGTTTTTAAAAGGACAGAAGTATCTTGCTCTGCATAAAGCCTGTTTTATGCTGTGAGACCCTCTTTCATCTAAAGTGTCTTAATATATCCTGAGGAAATCCCAGACACACATTACAATAATGCTCTGCTTCCTAAAAGGTATTTGAATGCCTAGTTACAAGCATGTCTGGGGGGTAGGGTAGCTTACAATATTCGACAAGAAATGTACTCATTACCTTACTTATATAGCTGTAACTCCTCTATACATTACCTTTACAACAAAATAAAATTAAATTTAAAAAAGAGTATCTCAAAGCCTGTATTCCAAAAATGGAAAAAGCTTAAGACTGAAAATCAGCTTCAGGAAGTAGTGCTGGGGCTCAGAGTGGTAGAGTGTTAGCCTTGAGCAAAAAGAGCTCTGGGACAGGCCCTGAGTTCAATCCCTGTGACCAACAAAAAGAAAGAAAATCAGCTTCAGGGATACATTTGAACACAGAAAACCAACCTAATCTTATTCTTCTATTGCTTGAAACAGAACATATTTCCTTATGAAGGAATAGTTTTTGAAGCATGTTTGGTGACTGACTTTTACCTCTTCATTTTTACCTCTTCAATTTTTGAGAAGCCTTTTGGAAGGGATTGTAAGAGTTATAAGTACTGAGCTGAGTTAATCTGCTTTCTCTGATTAAGACAAGATATCTGAGATAATCAACTTATAAGATTTATTTTGGTTCAATATCAAAGGTTTCCATCTATAGTTACTTAGGCTGTTGTGTTGGGCCAGTGGCAGCACAGTATTCCTTGACAGTAGTGCAAGCCAGAGGAGGTAGGAAGTGAAAGACAAAGTACTAGGTTTATAATATCCTCTTTGAGGTCACTCTTCTAGGCCCCCTGCCTACAGATTTTACCACCTTCAAATATCATCATAGGCTGCTAACCATGTCTTTAGTATATGGGCCTTTGGGGAACTAAAATAATAAACGAATAATATTTTAGAGTAAGGATATTTAATGATACCTTATTGCCTAAAAATAGGTTATTGAGCTAAAAATGCAATGAAGTCATATGACCTATACTATTGTTGCATATCTTAAGACTTTTTGCAGTATCATCAAATTGGATTTCCTTCTAGTTCTACATTCACATGTGGAAACTATTATTATGTTATATGATCAGTGTCATGGAAAGAACATAGTGTGTATGTAATAGAATAAAAGAGATGTAAGTATTAATTTAGTTTCTCTTCTGCCAAAACTAGGTGATAGACATAAGCAAGTCATTCATTCTCTTCAAACCTCAATTTCCTTAGCAACTATAAAAGGGCTGGGAAGGTGGCTCAGTGGTAGAGCGCTTGCCTTGCATGAATGAGGCCCTGGGCTCGATTCCTCAGCACCACATAAGCAAAAAGAAAAAAAAAGCTGGAAGTGGCACTGTGGCTCAGGTGGTAGAGCGCTAGCCTTGAGCTGAACTGCTGAGGGACAGCGCCCAGGCACAGAGTTCAGGCCCACGACCGGACCCGAAAAGAAAAAAAATATAACTTCACTATTTGAGAGAGGAGTTATTAACATGAAGTTCTGTTTTAAATTTTATCCTACAGATTTCGTTTTTAGTTAAATGACAAAGTAAGGCATATACATTCTGAATTAAAATACTAACATAGACCTTATGAACTAACAAAGCAGAGTACTAATTGAATAAGGTGAAGATCTCAGGAAAATTTTAAATTTAAACTGACAAAACATAATGACATTTCTTTCTTGCTATCCGTTATTTTACATCCTCTTGGTGTCAAATTGTCTTTATAGCATGGCCTATAGGTCTTTAACTCCTTTAAGGTCTGAACTCTGATAAGACCTTTGGAATATTTTAGATTGTGGAAAGTCAAAGAACCAAACTTGCTTATTTAGGAAATATGTAATTCATGAACTACATTTGTTACTAAGCATTTCAGATGCAACTGAAATTAAAGGAGCTCTGTTTTATTTATTTAGCATGTCTTCATGTATTTATTAGCCATGTGTATTTCTTTTTCTAAGACTGTCCAATTTGTCAACTGACCGTTGTTCTGCGATTCTTGTGTATTTTGGGTATGATTCCAAAATTATTGTTATTCATTTTATAACTGGCAGATTTATCTCCCATATTGTAGATTTTCTTTTTTTTCTTACCCCAAGACACATCCTTTATAAGACACACAGTTACAAAAATGAAAATATTTGGTGTTGAAGATAGCAATATATTCCATAAAACTTAAAAATAAAAACAATTTTTGAGACTATTTAAAACTAATACAAAACTTTAAAACAATACTTTTCCTCACAAAAGGAGGAGGTAAAGGGTTGGGCCATGTATTCCTTTAACTCCTTTCTAGCCTTGATATTCCCAGTTAATACCTGAGGAGTTTATAGGTATATTCTACAACTACTATAAAATAGATAATCTTTTACTAAAGCTACTTGTGTTTAAAATTACAAATATATAAATTATGAGCAAGATTTTAGCATATTTTAAATAGTCAAAGCACTGACAGAGGAAACAGTTCAAATTACTACTGGGGAAACAAAAAAATATTTATTGAGCTTTCTTTCATATTCTTTACGCTCAGAATTTCATCTCGAAAACAATTTCAGGAAGTTTTTGAAATTTTATTTTGAAATGAAGAAGCAGACGTTTAACAGTTTTAAAAGGCGTGTTCAAGGTTATTCAAGGAATTAGTAGGACCAGAATTCAATCCCTGCTTTCTCATCCCAGTCGTTATAACCACCTGATGAATGACTAAAGTTCACCTTTTTTTTTTTGTAAGCTCATAGAAACGGTTCTGTAAATGGGATTTGCCGGTCCAGGGCAAATCGAGGGATTTTCCCACTGCACAAACCTCTTATAATGCATTTGTTTCTTGAAATGATTTACGATGAAATGATTCAAGCTCATGGACAACTCCAAGGTATCGGGAGGCGGGACTCCCCTAACAGCCACGGGAAACTTCAGCACTGTGTATAGGTGCGTGTCTGCGGGTCAAAGACACACTGGCTGGGCCTCCATTACTCCGGATCACATCCCAGAGCCTAGCTCTCCTCAACACCCGCTTCGGGCTTCCAAAACAATCACTACCGCCCCAGCGCAGGAATCAACGGGCCCGACACACACACACACACACACACACACACACACAAGGTTTCATTTACACAAGTACGGCGAGGGCTCCTCCCGCACAGGACGCGGTGCCCCCGCCGGCCAACACCGACTCCCGCACGGCGTCTCCGGGAGGCCCGAGGCGACCTCGCCGGCCCCGCGGGCCCGCTCCCGCCGGGCCGTTACCTCCACTCCGCGCCCCGCACCGGAGGACGCCGGTTGGTCCCAACCTCCAGGGGGCGGGTGACTCACCAGACCCGGCCCTCCCCGTCCGGCCGCCCGTCCCGCCGCCGCCCCACCCCTCGGCCCCCGGGGCCCGACTCCCTCGGGCATCTCATTTCCTTTCGAGGTCTTCCTTCAAAGCCCCGCTCGGAGGGTGGGCGGGCGACGCCAGACTCCTTCCTTACCTCTCCCAAACCAGCATCTCACCAGGACAGAGAGGACCGGCGAGCGGCCGCACACGCCCACTGCCTCTGCCGCCGCCTCCGCGCTCACCGACGGCTCCGCCCCCACCGACGGCTCCGCCCCTCTCCCGCCTTCACTTCAACCTCCTCTTCCCCCGGCCCGCGCTCCGACGGGGGCGGCAGCGGCGCGCATGCGCACCCAGGGTGGAGTCCCAGACACCGGGCCGGAAACTTAGAGACAAAGTTGGGAGCCCCGCCCCCGCCGCGCGCTGCCCCTTCGTCTGGCCCCGCCGCTCCGCCGCCCCTCGCTCCGACGCGTCAGCCTCGGCTCCCGTGCGCCATGTCTGGGTCCTCCAGCGTCGCCGCGATGAAGAAGGTGGTTCAGCAGCTCCGGATGGAGGCCGGGCTCAACCGCGTGAAGGTGAGGGGGCCGGGGGAGTCGGCGGGACCCGTCCGGCGGCCCGTGGCGGCCCTGGCTTTTCTGGAGGACGCGCGTCGCGAGGCCCGCCGCCGCCCCGGAGCCGTCCGCTTTGGAATCACTGTCGCGCGGGACGGCGCCGCGGCTGGGGGGGGGGGGCGCCATCGCCCTTCCGTCCCCCCGCCCCGGCTTTCCTGGGCGGGCCGGCGTCGGGGCTGAGCCGCGGCCCGCTCCCGTGGCCCGGGCCGCTCCCTCGGCCCGGCTCGGCAGGCGCGGCCCCGCCGCCCGCGCGCGGGTCACGCCCTTCCCCTTGGGCCCCGCCCGCGGCCCGCACCTTTCCCAAGCCCTTGCCCCCGGCGTGAGCGCCAACTTTCGATTCGGAACCGACGTGTTTCTCCGTGTCACCCGATCGTTCCCGAACCTACTCCCACGACTCGATTCTTCCGTTCCCGTCGCCCCGGAACACCGACTTGCGATTCTGGGATAACTTACTCCGTCGAGAAGCACCTTTTCCGAAAGTCCCGGAGCCGCGGGTCCTTCCGGTGCCCCGTGCGCCTAGAACAAAGCCTGCCTTTCATACTTAGCTGGGCACTGCTTGCTCCGACTGACCCCAAGGATGGCCATTTACTGACGCGCACGTTCGAGAAAGTGATTGGGGTTGGCCGGTCTTGGTCCCATTTTGGCGTTTGGTTAAGATTACGCTTTCTTTGGGATACTTTGGGGGGGAAAGCCATTTGTGGGTATTGATATGACAGACAGTCAAGCGCCTTTCCAAGTGATTGGATTTACCTTGCAAAGTCTATTTAGGATTGGCTTCTTTCTGATGCGATAGGTCAGGTTACAAGTGAAAGGAAACAGTGTGAATCACAAATTTTGCTACAAGCAGCCATGCTCCAAGATGATTTTGATTTTATCTTCCCCAGGTTAGTCTCAATTCTTGAAATGTTTTGTGGAGTAACGACTCCGATTTAGCTTCCTTAACTAGTAGTGTGTAGGACCTAGCCAACTTAATTGTGTCCCAGAGGGAAATTCCTATCAGTCTTGGTTTGGAATCTATTTCTATAATCTACAAATTCTTGCCTTATCCTAGTGGCTAAGTCCAGCCTTGGCTGGATTTACCTGTGCAACTTGAAATCTTTTTCTTAACCATTATTCTATCGTACAGTGCCACTAGTGTAGATTTAAGTAAGCTAGGAGAGGAAAAAAAGAATGGCTGTTTAGGATGATGATGAGAGCACTGATTACAATTATTATGGTGGTATTTAGCTTTCCTGGGTTGCCAAAGAAAATGAGTTGAAGCCTAAGACTCATTAGATTTCCTTCACCTTGAAAACACTGTTTTCTTCTCCAGCTCTCTTCTCTAGGCTTCTGGTTGGGATGGTTAAAATGATCATAAGTGACCTGACCTTTCGAGCTCTGAATTTGCCTGATGTTAGGGCTGAGGTAAGAGGGACAGGATATCCCACTTGGGTTTTTAAATGAGTTTTGTCTGCACACACTTATGATATGGTTAGGTACCATTTCACTTACGCCTTTGTGCTAGCTGCTTTTTGAGGTATTTTTAAATTAGCACACTCTTACACACTTATGTTTATACTATGTTTGAGTACTGCTGATTTTTAAAAAATGGGCCAGGGCAGTTAAGTGAAAAGGGTCATTAATACCTGTGCAAGGTTACAAATTCAACCTTGTGGATGGTGGCTAAGCCTGTTTGAGTCCCGTTTTCCTGCAGCTTTTCAGTGGTAGTTATTTCCCTAGATGTTGGTCATTGTGATCACAGCAAAAATGTCAACTCAAATGGTTTGGGTGATTCATGCCTGTAATCCTAGCTACTCAGGAGGCTGAGGTCTGCGGGTTGCAATTCAAATCCAGTAGTCAGGAAAGTCTGTGAGACTTATCTACAATCAATCAGCAAAAAGCCAGAAATGGAGCTGTCGATAAACTAGTAGAGTGTCATCCTTGAGCAAAAAAAGCTCAGGAATAGCACCCAGGCCGCAGTACCAGTACCAAAACATTAAAAATGTCAACTCGGACATTTTCTCTAACATTGCCACCTAGTCAGTCATTATTTAACTAATTGCTTTTCTTGCAGGCACTGCCAGCTGCTAAGCAGCAGTCATTTTACCTTATTCTTAGTGCCTAAAAGGATAGCTGGCACATAATGGTATTTGAGAAGTCTGTGAAAAATGATTCCATTTGGGCATTGCTTACATTTTAAGGAAAAAATTAACAGGCAATTTTTTAATTGCCAGTTAATGTAAATGAACAAAATACTGCAACATCATGAAAACTAGTATTACCCACTAGGCCCTGTTTTTAGATACCAGGTTTGTAAAATTGCTGGGTACAAGTGTTGAAATACAGGGACCTTCCACAGTTAACTAACCTGTGGAAACTGACTGCTGTATGAACACATAGTTTCAAGAGTTACATATAGTTACATTCATCTCAGGATGGCAAGATTCTTTTATTAAGTCTGGAAAATAACTAATACTAATAGACAATATTCTTGTAAGAAGTCCATATAGTAGGCAGGGGTTGGTAAATATGTGGTGATTCTCTTTTAGGGATGGCTAATATTAAACCAAATGATGAAGATATTTGATGTCATTGGTATATTTTTAAGTCATTCATGGTATACATCAAACCACTGAATTCATTGTTTTGGTATTAAGAGTACCATCATCTGTTTACAAAACTGTAAACAGTGACAACTGTCTACTCTGTGTTACATTCTTTTCTCTTTTTTTTTTTGGTTGGTTGTGGAGCTTGAACTCTGGGCCCCTCAGCTCTTCAGCTCAAGCCACAGCACTACTTCCGGTTTTCTAGTGGTTTATTGGAAATAAGAGTCTCAAGGACTTGCCTGCCTAGGCTGGCTTTGAATCTTGATCCTCAGATCTCGGCTTCCTGAGTAGCATGTCACATTCTTGAAAGTAGCAAATCTTAAGACCCTTTCTGGGTGAGCAAGACTGTCTTTCAGAAACTGTACTTGCCTAACTATGATTCAGTGATGTTCACATATGTATGCATTGCTATTTACGTAGGAGCTTAAGGCATTGCTATGGTCTTCTGGTTATCTTGCTTGTAACCTGCATAATCTAACCAGAATGTATACAAATAATAGATGTTTATGTGAATGACTGCTTGAGTTTGTATAAATTTAAAGAGTATAATTGGATTATTTCAGTGTTAAGAATTCTAATACATTAGTTATTCACAGTAGCAACATCACAATATTACTTTGAAGCAAGTTTACTGGAATTTAACATTTTTTGCTTAACTTCTACTATCATGTACTGCTTTTGATAAAAAAAAAAGATGTAACTATAACCCTTCGGTACAGCATCTTTAAGATAAAAAAATCAAAAAACAAGATGCTACAGATTGTACTTGAATAGCCTATTATTGAGCAAGATGTTGCTGTGCTGTGTAGATAAATGTAATAGTACTTTGTACTGAATCACATGATGGCTTCTAATGAGAAAAGAAAACATACTATAACTCAAGTCTTATTTGAAAGTACTTGGGGAAACCATTAAACTTTACCAACTGGTATTTCCTTTCCCTTCTCTTATGTATAGGTTTCTCAGGCAGCTGCAGACTTGAAACAATTCTGTCTGCAGAATGCTCAACATGATCCACTGCTGACTGGAGTGTCTTCAAGTACAAATCCCTTCAGACCCCAGAAAGTCTGCTCCTTTTTGTAGTCTAGTAAATCTTTCAAAGGTAAGTTGTCTTAAATAAAACAAAATCCCATATAGTAGGAGTAACAGTCAAGTTTTCATTTTCAGTCTTAACCATATAATTTTGTTTGGCTCCATTAAGTTATTATGAAACCACTGTGTCATCAGCCATGTGTTATTTTTTTTTTTCATAGCTTTGGCCAGATACCTGTTGTATTCACTTTACAATGTGGCTTATTTTTCATTTTATATAAAACTTGGTTAAGTGGCCTGATGATATTTTGCTCAAGTATCTTAAATACGACTTGGATAAGAACCCATATTTCATAATAGAAGCTGTATCTCAGCCATACTTTGTGGATACAATTTGTAGCAATTTAGGAATAGGAAAGGATATCTGACTGTACAAGCATTGCTTCTGAAGAATTTGAATGCATCTCCAAATTAACTTCTTATAGTGCATATTACAATATAGTAGGATCTGAGGTGAGGCTCTGGAACATGCATTTCTTAAAAGCCCTCTCATTTTAAGTATAGATGCTGATATTCCTAGTCTTATCCTGAGTATGATCTGTTTTTTTTTTTTTTGTTGGTCGTGGGACTTGAATTCTGGGCTTGGGCACTGTCTGCACTCTTCAGCTCAAGGCAAGCACTCTACCACCTGAGCCATAACGCCACTCCATTTTCTAATGGTTTATTGGAGATAAGAGTTTCATGGACTTTCCTGCCCAGGCTGGCTTTGAAATGTGATCCTCAGATCTCAGCCTCCTGAGTAGCTAGGATTACAGGTGTGAGCCACTGGTGTCTGGCCTAGGTATGATAAGTAATTTAGTAGTAAGTAGTACAGGAAAGGAACTTTTCTTGATCAGCATACCTAGAATTTGTCCATTAACAGAGTTTTCCTCTAAAGAGGAAAAAAAATTTTTGTGTGTGTGCTGGTACTTGGGTTGAAATCAGGACCTCCCACTTTCTCTTAGCTTTTTTGCTCAA